GGAAGAATGTCCAGAACTTATGCAAAGACCTCACAGAGGACATCATCAAAGTAAAGGAATTCTTGGCAACGAGAGGTCTTATGTTGAACTCCTCGAAAACCCAGCTTGTTGTGTTCAGGCCAAAGTCGAAACCTCTTGACCCCGATGTCAACGTTCAGATTGAAGATGTCACCATCACCCCTAGTGCACACGTGAAATACCTCGGTATAGTTCTTGACGAACATCTCTCCTTTGGAGTTCACATTGCACAATTAGAACGTAAAATAGGCTGTAAGTTAGGAATGTTTAGAAAGGTCCGAGACCATTTAACGATCGATGCTAAGAGGGCTTTCTACATCTGTTCCATTCAGTCCATACTTGAGTATGGGTCTAATTCCTTTGCTCACTGCCTTTCTGCCTCCCTCCATGACCGTGTTGTCCGACTTAGTAATAGAGCGCTGCGTATTGTATTTTGCATGCCCCGCCTATCTGATGTCTCCCTTGTTCTTGCCCGCTACCATATCATTCCCTTGTCTGTCAGGTACCAATTCAAGCTGTACGTTCTAACGTACCGTGCGCTTCATGATCTGGCTAGTGTCTTTGTTGCTAACTGTTTCTGTCTCCGCTCTAATTCTACCTGCACTAGTTCTCGCACCCGCTCTCAAGTGTCCTCTTCCCTTGCTCTTCCGACAGCCAAACGTCGCTATGGTTTATTTTCTGTCACTTTCCTTGGCTCTGACCGCTGGAATGCCCTCCCAGCGGAGGTCCGCTCAAGTTCTTCCTTGCATACCTTCCGTAATTCTGTTCTTCATTTTTTAGGGTACCCTGTCAAAAGGCCTTAGGCCTGTGGGGATTGCCCTATCAAAAATTTAATAATAATAATAATAATAATTTCGATAATGCTTGTGAATTAGGGGTCAAACGGGTGTGTGTACCTTTAACTAACGAACGGGTAATTTTCTGGACGAGCGGGTTAACGGGTACCCTTTAGCAGCCATGTTTAATTTTTGCGCAATCTTCACTTAAATCCTGATTTTAATTTATCTGTTTTCGGTTGCATTTTGATCACATTATGATTCGCGAAGTGATTTGTGTCTGATAGTTGCAGAGGTAGATCTACTAGGTGCAAAAAATGCAACAACAATGCAGACACCCAGCGTGGGGGGTGTAAATAATTGACTCCCGCCTGGAATGCGCGATCCCAGTACTGTAGTGTGGTTCTGTACTGACTGGATCATCGAAATCCAAACGGGTACCCTTTTACTAACGGTACCTGAGATTAACGGACAGATACCCGGGTACCCGGTACACCCCTTTGACCCTACTTGTGATGCTAATGGATGGGATGATACCACCGTTCTGGCTCGGCCTGTCCGTCCAGCCCCGATAAGAACCCGAGGGGAAACATCTGGCTCACACTATACGGTTACCCCACCTAAAGACACAACGTGTTATACTCGGTACTCTGAAGCTTGTTCTGACGTTCCATATGCACCTGATGATATACCTACACCGAAAATTCATTCTGCTGAGGATACTAAGTTCAAGCCTAGTGGTAAGCCAGATGTCTCCCTCCACACTAAAGACTTTAAGTGTCCTGGTCCCCTTGGCCGTGGCTTAGGTGATTGGACTGCCATCTCTCATAACCCGTTTCTTGCTGATCTGGAGGCGAAGGATGAGGATACCGTTTTGCCCGCGCTCGACTCCGCTGTTCACTTGTTCATGGCCGAGAACTTAGACGCACCTGTTTTGCCTTTCATCTCTCCGGTCCAAGTAATGATGGAAAGCAATTTTGATACCACGCCCGTGTTACCTGCTGAAAAAGCTAGTTTTCGCGATGACTTATCTGACGATGAGGAATACCTCGACTTTGTTATATCATCCATATCATGCCTGTCATGATTGTCTGAAGCTATTGTCTGTGTTGTGGTTGACTTCACTCCTTAGTGCTATTGACTGGCCTTTCGTACAATACCTATTGATGTCTAGAGACATACTGTCTAGCCTTCCCCTCGTGCGCTTATTGATACACTATCCAGCTGTTCAGTGGCTCTTCTTCTACCGCTCTCTATCTCGCTATACTCTTCTTCACACTCTATAAGTTCGTGTCTTCTTTACAATAAAATCAGTTCAGTGACTGACGAGTTCGAGATCACAACATGGTGTCAGAAGCGGCTTGATTACGAATCCAGCCGAGTAGCTTGCAATGTAGTCCTCAAACTGTACTCCTCTTTACCCGTTTTAGCCCTCTTACTCAGGCTCTCTCTAGCAATTCTGGCTCATTGCAGAAACCGTCCGTCTGCCTCATTGCAGAAACCGTCCGTCTGCCTCATTGCAGAAACCGTCCGTCTGCCTCATTGCAGAAACCGTCCGTCTGCCACTAAGCAGAATCCGTCCGTCTACCATCCGTCCGTCTGCCTCTAAGCAGCCTCCCTGCCTCCGCGTTCCTACCGGTCGCAGCTCCTCGTGTAAGTCTCATTGCAGCTCCTGCATAGTCCTCAGACGACGTCGATGACCTCCTCGTTCGAGAACAACTGATCGTGGCCTTCCCGGCCGATGCCCAAGTCTTCCTCCTCCGTCAAGCGCCTCAGACCGCTACCACAACTGTCGAGCAGGCCGAAACTTACCTGTGAACGGAGAGGACAGAGATGGCGCTCCGCAAGTCTCTCCCGGGTTCACCGCCCCTCGCAAACGCGGCGGAAACCTCAGACAACTCGTCGTACTGTTCGACCTCCGACATCGTTGCCTCAGTGTAGTAACGATCCATCGAGTCTGTGGTGGTGCAGCTCACCCTCGGCGTGATTGCCCAGCTACAGACAAAAACTCGCAAGAAACTAGGTCACTTCCGCGTGTGTCAACGTGCAACAGCGCCACCGTGACACAAGTCAGAAATCCGTGGGTTGTGTTACTGTAAGTACCACCACAGCACCAACCAGTCATGCTGTCCGTGAGTGCGATGCTGACATGGACTGTCCATTCTTAGGGTAACTCCACGTACTTTCTACTCGTATTCTGTACTCGTAGAGTCGCACTCTGATCTCTGCGTCTTGCTCTTTGTGCTCACACTCCTTCCACATAACGCATGGTTGCGCTCTTTCTCTGCTGGCTCTAGTAAAATGCTCCAGTTCTATTTGGCCTCTTTGCCCTCTGTTTTCACTCTTTGCTTGAAAGGGGAGATGTTATATCATCCATATCATGCCTGTCATGATTGTCTGAAGCTATTGTCTGTGTTGTGGTTGACTTCACTCCTTAGTGCTATTGACTGGCCTTTCGTACAATACCTATTGATGTCTAGAGACATACTGTCTAGCCTTCCCCTCGTGCGCTTATTGATACACTATCCAGCTGTCCAGTGGCTCTTCTTCTACCGCTCTCTATCTCGCTATACTCTTCTTCACACTCTATAAGTTCGTGTCTTCTTTACAATAAAATCAGTTCAGTGACTGACGAGTTCGAGATCACAACAGACTTGACCATCCCTAATGTTGAGCTGAGTGTTCTTCCTTGCTGTGGAGTTACCTCTCACTCTACTTTCCCTTAGTATTCATCTCCAGACGAGTGTTCGTCCTCGCTGTCGAGTTTGACCTACCGTATTATCTCTAATATAAGCACAGTCTCCAATAATAGCACGTCTCCAATAATAGAACACCTTGGGGCGGCATTCAAAAAATAAAGTGCTCAGTCTCCATTATAAGCACACTGCGTAAATTCATTATTGTACCGGCGAAAAAACCCTGAAATGTGTGTGTCATACATGAATTTGGCATGGCAACATGCCTCTGAAATGAGGTTGAAATAATAATGGAACAGTCTCCAATAAAGGAACGTCTCCATTAATAGCACGGGGCGGAGGTACATTGAAAAAATAAAGGACCGTGCTTATATTAGAGATAATACGTGTGTTGGTGTGTCTGCTGTGGTGTCCTGTGTTGCGTTCTCTCTGTTGGCTTTGCGTGGTGCACAGGACCCTCACCCTACAAATACAACAACCCCCTCCAGCTCGCAACACCACCCACCCAACCCCGCCCATTGATACCGCCAGAGGACACGCGCCGCACCATTGAACGGCGCCGCAACATCCGGCAGACCCGCCGTCGAAGCACTCCCGCCTTTGTGGCTAGGTCTCGGCGACGGGCAGCAGCCCGTCTTCAGCAGCGGGCCTGGACAGTCCCTCCCCCGCCCACCACGCCTCCACCGCTACCGGTAAACCCGTCGGCCAGGTTTGACCGGTTCGGTCAAGAACCGGAACTTGTCTCCGAAGCCGAATGGTCGGAGTAGGGTAGAGTATTTGTGCATGTGGGTGTATGCGGAATGTGTGCATGTAGGTCTATGAATGTACGACTGTGCGTGGTTCTGTACATGTGTGTTTGTTACAATTTATTGTTCCATGACTAATTATTATTATTTTCTGTTTTCTTTCCCTAGATTGTGGGGAGTCTGGGGACCCGATTTTGTTCCCCACGGGGGAGGCAATGTCAATACACACTGCATGCGATAGTTTATACACATTTCATAACCCCCATATTTGTACCATTTCCCCCTACCCCTGCATGCAATAATTAGTACCACACACATTTGTAGCCCGTTTTCCCTCCTTCTGCCCCTGCACATAAAACCACCGTACATTTGATCTAATTACATCCCTTTTGTGTTCATAGCCGGGCTACATACATAACATGCGCGCCTATGCATTACACGATACGCATTTATTGTAGTAATATTCCTGGTACAGTATAACGAGACTTCCGAGAGCTCAGGATGCGTTCATTTTTGCTACTTGTGGCCGACAAGTACCGTATTTTTCCGGTTGTAAGTCGACCTTTTACGACTTAAAATAGAAGAAGAAAGGGTGCCGGTGGGGGTCGACTTACAACCGGGATTCGACTTATAACCGGGAACTATCAGTATCTTACAAAAAAATGACCTGCACTGCATTCACGAGTGCACCATGTTTACACATTTTTGCCAGTTTATTGGCCTTTTTCAAGGATTGGGTCATTATATCCTCCAATAAGGAATGTTTACATGATTTGTTGATGTGCTAGTAGCAGGAGGTGGTTAGTAGTGCTTCTTTGGGTGAAAACTTTAAAACGCAGAATTGAGACCTCCAGATAGGGGGTCGACTTACAACCAGTAAAATACGGTAACACGTTAGTTGTGTGCACCGACCAGAGAGTCCATGGTCGGTGCACACAACTTACTTGTCGGCCACACGTAGCGGCTACATTGCCAAGCAGATACATGAAGAAATTGCATGGGCCAGTACGAGGATCGGACAAGTAAACAGAATGATGCAGCCTGGTCACTCACTGGATCCACCTACAATAGCTACATGTACATGGATGACCGGCACTGAACTCGAACCACAGACAGAAAGTAGAAGAGTCAGACAGTCAAAATTAATGTCTATAGACTAAAATTGTAGTGATCGGTACACATGCTGTGGAAAACGAGTACACGTGCATATTCTCACGATCAGTAACTGTTGAGCAGTGCGCAAATACATCAATGTAGCTGTGTGTAACAGTGCGCGGCCTGAAGGAATCGGATAGAACAGAATGCCGAGCAGTCATCATTGTGGCATGTTGATTGGCATCGGTTTTTCACGCATATGATAGACTTCACACAGCAAATTGTGGCCAGTGCGGTCAACTTTTGTAACTTCACATACCATGGCAATAAAACCATACACATGTAATCATTGCAAACGCGTATAACAAAACAGGCGAACGGCAACACCGGCACTGAGATCCGCACGCAGTTGTAAAGTCACACTCAGTATGCTCACTCCAAACGACTATGCACTGGTCCAAACTACTTCGAAGTAGCTTCATTTGGCATTCGCAAAGGAGGCTCCTGAGTCCTAGTATGAGTAACACTGATGGAAGTCTGAAAGCTGAAGAACATTTCGTTCCGTGGCAACTTGAAACTTGTTCGTATTACAATAGTAGTGGGTGTAGTTGGCTTCCGGTTAGTAGCTATGTAGCTGCGAAAGCACGGAAATCGTGGCAGGAACGCTGAAGCTACCTCTACAATCTGTTCAAGGCGCAGTTGGCAGGAGGCAGTGTCGGTAGATTGAAAAGCAATGCCTGAAACTAGTCTCATTATCTCCAGGCAAGGAGGCTGCATTCCATTGGCATGGTGGGATACTGGCAGAATGACATCATGATCTCACATCATGAAACACCACTACGGCACTAGATTCTGTCCTGATCGGATGACACATTGAACATCTGATGGTCATCTGTGAACGTACACGTACCGATAGTAACGGTCTGCTTTACACAGCTGCACTATGCTTTGCTTCGAGCTTGATTTGAAATACTACATTGGACGCATCGATGCAGACGCACGGCACGACAGATACCCCGCTGATGTGTCTGGCCGTCAGAGCCAGGGTGACATCGGTAGGAGCGCGAACAGTGCGATACTCGTGGATATGTAGCATAGCTGAAGTGAAGGATGCCTCCTTGTACTGGAAAAGTGTATGGCTGGCGATGATCTGATCACGATCACCGATATGGACAATGAGTTGAAAAACTGCACCAGGAGCAAACCGACATGATCTTTCCGGCACTCGCCAGCCAGAGAATATAGGCACCTTTGCTGTGAATTGATATCCTCCAGACTGCAGGATTCCGACTCCGTTCGGGAGAGGGCGATAGCGCTGTGAGTTCACCCGGCCTGGCTGCTGAATCATGGACAGGTCAGCTGTAGCGAAAACAAAAAAGCAGAACAGCAGCAACAAGAATGAACTGCCAGTATAGCGGGGCCGGTGGCATATCTGCACTACAGTCCTGTGACAATAATAATAATAATAATAATAATGTGCTTCGAGGAGCATCGTGCGTACATTTCTAACTGTTGGTTAAAAGAATAGCTGCTTTAGTAGAGCATTGAAGTAAGGAGCCTGACCAGGATAATGGAGCACCAGACTGCTCATTTCATGCACTTGAAGGAAAATTAGACCAATTACACTTCGCACTATTACCTGACTACTTGCCCAGCAACAAAGAAGACCGGGTACTACTTCTAGTGCAATTCAACAGTAACCGTCAACAAGACAAGAGCGCATAGTGACAGGCTTTCATACTTGCTGGAATTACATGCTTAAAACTTACAATTCCTCATGGGAGTCCCCCTCCCCTTCCCCTCTGTAATGATGCTGCCGGCAAGCTCAGCAATAGGCCATAAGAAGAGTCCACGCTATGATATAGCCCTCACCCCCAACCTCCCACATAGGTAGCTCTTACCAGTGCTTACGATTGGATGGGTTTCTGTGCTGGCTGCGTGAAAGGTCTGTACAAACACAGTGTCGGTACTGCGACCGGAGGCCAGGTACATGTCTACATCCGACCCTGCCGGGATCAAATACAAACAGTGAAGATTCAAAAGGGGAAGTTGCATGCACTAAAGTCGCCTTTTCTTTGAGCAGCAGTGTGTGGCACACATGCAAGGCTCTTCAAGTGGTCATCAACCTGATGAATACAAGTGGGCGTCTCCGATGCACTGGCCTATATGCTGTGATATGTGTGGAATGATGCTTTTTTAAAAGATCTGCAATTTGCAGTATTTGTACGCAAATTTCCGTCTCCAACCCGTGACGTACAAACAGTCCTCGGCTTCACCACGCACAACGATCCCATCGCTGTGCATGGTGTTACGGAGGACACTTCAAGCGCTGCGAGTCGGAGATTTAGTACAAAGATGACAAGGCTACAATGGAGTTTCACAGTTCTAAAAAAAATCCAGGTGTTGATTGTAAGTCACGTGTATTGCAGTCAGGTTGGTCCGATACTTGAAGTGCACATAAGTATATCAGACTAAGCAGTGCACATAAGTATATCAGACTAAGCAGGCAACAGTTGTTAAAACTGGGATGGAACAGAGGCCAGCACATAGCACCGGATATGTTGGGTAGATCTATCAATCTCTTCTAAAAATGATAATCCGTTTACCCGGCATAACGGCATACTAAGTAAACAGAAAATTGAATTCAAAAGTAAGGATTTGGATACTCAAGGTTAGGAGGAGAAATACTACAGAGATCGCTCATTGAATAACCCCCGGTGCTACCTTACTCAGCTGGCAATCTTCTCCTGCTAGTCCTCGAAGTCCAGGTTGTCCTGCAACAAAGACCGGACCGTTGAAAGACCGGGCCAGTTTAAAAGAGAAAAAACTTGCAATGCAGAACCATCACAATCAAGCCACATTTTTTGGCGATCACACCACTGGCTTTCTGTTGTGCCTTTCAAGTGTCCCATGCACTGCAAACACACACACACACACAAACACTAGGCACACACACACACACACACACACACACACACACACACACACACACACACACACACACACACACACACACAAACACTAGGCACACACACACACAAACACTAGGCACACACACACACACACACACACACACACACACACACACACACACACATGCAGACACACCTATCCGCTCAGTGCGTGGGACGCCACTACCTCATGACCAGACATCAGATGCAGCCCTCTAAACGGTGAGGGGAAGCAGGTCAGATCCACCAACCAGAGACCAAAGGCCGAAATCCCATTTGCCATATCCATGTTAGCCTTGTGCCAGGCCACAAGTTCCCAATTCACTGTGGGTTGCAGCATGGTTTGCAAAATCCACCCGTTTCCAAGCAGTACGGAAACTGAACCGAAGAAATCAATGGTACTCCATCTTGCAGTACTGAGATCCTGACCAGACCGTCAAGTGGGCTCTTCATTCCATGCGCTGGCCCCATAAGATCAGCGCTGCCAGCTCGAAAAGGCCAACATGCGCATTGATGATGGCGGATAGACCGTGACTCACCCATCCTTCCTGGGTGCCCCACAGGCCCGGACAGTCCAGGAAGGCCTTGTGGTCCGACAGCACCCTGCAGTCCTGGTGGTCCGGCTGGTCCTCTTAACTCAGGGTGCACTGAAGGAAAAAGCGCACACATAGTATGCACATACACTTTGCATGACGATTGTACAATGAACTGAAGTGGCAACAGAGGTCTCCGGGGCTCCTTGGAGTTGTGGCTGGGTGCAAGGTCCCTCAACAAGAAAGCTTACATTACAACATGAACACACCTCGCACTATGATCCGCTTCTAATGTCATCACGCACTGCATGCGCTCCACCGATTTCAGTCAAAAAGACTCTGACATAACAACGCGAACTGGTTAGCAAGGCATAATTCGAAGTTAACTGTATATACTGTACTGGTCGGCTCAGTGTGTATGGGCAGGCTGTTCGGTGTCCCAAAATCTGTGTCCATGGTGCACAGGCGCAACTCAACGTGATCGTGACTGCGAGCATTTCAACATTGTCACGGTTGTGGGTACATGTTTGGATAAATAGAATGCCCAGATAATGAAGACTGGTTTTCCATGGCATATTATGCGGTTTGAATTATCAGGATTCCACCTGTAGTTATTACAGAGGCCATGCTTCCTACCTGTGATGTTGCAGCACTGCTCTTCCATTGCACCATCCAGTGTGAATGGCGAGAAAGTCTTGTACAAATCTGGACATGAGAATGAGCAGGAAAACAACCCAAAGTTGCAACTGGATAACTCTGCTACTCCACTGACCAAAACAGAGCCCGGGCGGGCACATACATGTTACGTTGTTCGGTTAGGTATGCCCGGTGACGCAAAATATTATCAAGCGATCGTCTGCAGGTTTCCGCATACTTGTGCCTTTTCTTTGGGAGTTTGGCACTGAATGTGTTGCATGTGCATGGGTCACACAGCTACACTGCTACGCTGGCTAGTTTAGGAGACACGCGGATGCGTTCACACTGATATGCGACAGACTGGTCTGAGTCATGGGTGGTCACTGTTGTAGTGAAACCTGGTTTCGTCTGTACTGTACACTATTCTAGTCTGGACAGTGAGGACTGAGGAATCATGGGATCACATTGTGCTAAAACCAGGGAGCCCATCAAAAACATTTACACATGGTATACTAACGCCATAATTTATAAGACTAAAAAATTGAAAATTTTAACCTCTGAATCTGCCAGTATGCAAGGTGCCATACGCACATTACAGTACTGCAAATACTGAGCTTTGCCCCCAATGAAATGTGGTTGCATGCATATGAGCTCCCATAGCTCAGTCGGTTAGAGCGTCGTGCTAATAACGCGAATGTCGCAGGTTCGAGCCCTGCTGGGAGCATGCTCATTTTTTTGGCAGCATACCCAATACATAAATGCAAGCACCATACATATGATTATGTTGGAATCCACAAAGGAGACTTTGCTCAGTTTGCTGGGGCTGAATGAGGATGAGAGCATATTTTCTTTTCCTTTACCTTTTTGAAGACAGCCTAGGCAGTGACGTATGCGATGCCGGCGCTGTTCGCCTTTCTGCCACGTGCACGACTGCACGCACTCTGCTGATGTCTGCTTCGTAATGTTGGGACGCTGTGACCAGTCATACACGCCCGCCAGGACCTGGAAGTCCAAGCTGGAACACTGAGTTCCGTTACGATGCAAACTCTTCCAGAACTTGCAGATGATGCGCAAAGGAACTCGACAGAACAGGTCCCCTTTTCTGGAGCACTGCAGAGCAGAATAAGAGGGGGAAAACATCAAAAGAATAATGAAACATGCATGCAAACATGCATGTATGCGAGTTAGCTATTGTGGATATGCATACTGAGGTAACCAGCTGCATTGTGAATTAATATCATTATCACACTGCATGCCCTGCTACTTCTGCAGGTTTGGGGCATAATCTTCGATTCAATACGGCTAAACTAGCGACGTAGACTCTGAATATAAAACACCATCACTGCTGAGAAGACTGGTTTGAAGAAGGCAAAGGAATACTGGTAGCTTGGAGTCTTGCAAGCAATCACTAGAACATAGCCTAGCCTCACAGATGTGATTGAATTGGCAAGGATTGATGACTCAGTCGCTGTTTTGCACTAACTTGAATGGCAGGAAAGAACGGGGAAGCCTGAGACTGGGCTATGTCCGGCTTTGGTTTGCCAGCATGCAGCTGAGGATGTCACCCGTGCCATCCACGAATGTAGTACTAGAGGTCACTACGCTTTACCTTCTTGCAAGGCGGACATGAAATCCACGAAGACACCAAGCCCGCAGCACGGTGTGGCATGGTGACAGGAGCACAGTGTGGCATGGTGACAGGTCACCTGAACGTGCTGTTTGTGTGCCATGAAAGCTGGGGTGCATTGTTGACATACTTGGATGACCTCACACTTTCTGTCATGTCAACTCCTTCATTCATTCACCTGGCAACAGGACAGAGATGAGGAAAAAGGCAGCTAGCATTCCGGATGCATGTCGCAGGTGGCCGGTTTAACGTCCACAGTTCGTGATTGGGAAACATGACTTAGTGATGTACTCTGTCTGTTTCGCATGTCAGATCGTACCATCATGACAACTGGCACTGCACATAGCAAAAAGTGGTGCCGTCCCAATAATGCTGGGGAGCCAAGTGCTCTTGGCGATGCTCTTCGATCCGGTACTTCCCGCGAGACAGAACCAAGCTCAGCGGTACACACTGTATTCCGAAGAAGTGACCAAGAAGTCACTAATGATGAGCATAATGTGACGTGCTCGGTCCAGAGTGAGAGCTGCGTCCTGATGCTGGGAACATCGCGCCCGCACAGTCCACATCGGATGGCTGCTCATTGTGATACGAGAATATAATGAGAACATCGGGTAGCCACACACACAAGTAGCGAACGCTATCAGTATAGGCTTTGCTTTCCGAGTATTCTCAAGACTACGACAAGAGTCTTCACTCTGGGCCGCTTCGCAAGTTACTGTTCACCGGCAAGGTGCCCCGGTCGAACGCTGGCTTTGGCCCAGTTTGGAGTTGGCTTTGCAAGGGCGAAGGTCACGGCAACATCTGCCTTGCAGTTGCACCAGAGTCCAGAGCGTATCCACATCTTCAACATTTCAGGTAAGCCTACGTCGTATAGACTATGTCTTCAATGCTAAGAAACATCCTGCCGCTCCACAACAAAACGAACCACCAACTTCAGGGCTCACGGTTGTGTACAAATACGTGGGCGCCATTTTGTTTCTGGCCAGCTCACGCGACGACAGGTCGACTGTCACGCGACCACAGCTCGACCACCCCTTGTACACAAACTCTAGCCATCTCGCAGCGCATTTTCAGTGCGACACATGCCTCTTCAAAATAGAATAAGGTAGCACGGGTAGACAGTACGACACTGAAAATTTGGGTGGAACCAGGCAAGATGTGAACTAGGGGTTCAACCGAAGGAATTTTTGATTTAGGCCCCGGGAAACTAAAGATATTGTCACAAAGTCCGTGAATGCTCTACAGCGATCCCTTCATCTAGGGAAAAATCGCTTCGGTTAAACTGTATCATAGTATCTCCTGAAGATTTTGAGCCATCGATTGTCAAAATCGGCCAATATTGTGCTACCTTATACTGTTTTTAAGTGAGCTAAGTCGGCAGGGGCGCGCGCGAACTCCCGTGCGCGACGACAAGGAAGGAAGCCTGTGCATATGCGTTGTACGATGCGGAAACTACACCAGCGAGGCAGCAGCAAGGCGTTTTTTGCAATGTTTCCTCCGTGACTGACGAACTCTTGAAATATTATTGACCGTTTGCTGTCTCGCTCATCGGCGCTCTACTGCTGTGAGCTTCAGCAGCTATGGCGAACCGAAAATACATGACCAGTACAACGGCGAAGCCATTTGATTCGTCCTCTTGCAACGAAAGAGAGTGGCAAATCAAATAATTCACAACTCTCCATCGTCACTTCTTACAGCAGCGTGGCACGGCTCTTTCACTCGTGTAAGTGCATTTACAAAACGCTCTGAGAACAGAGATAACGAACTAGAACACGGTGTGAGTCTTTGCTTCATTCCATCAAGGAGCTCTTGTCCTCTATCTCTCCTCACCTGCGCCAGTGCACCAGCGGACAACATAGATGTCGATCCCTTTCTCAGTAAAGACTCGGCGGCAGAACTCGCGACTTCTCATCGCAGGACTCAGCGTGCGAACGAACTGTCTGAAGCCTTCGGCTTACGAGGCCAGCACTGCTCGCAACACACTCGCTCGGAAAGAAGCAATAACAACGACAGTGAACGGCAACCAAAGTGAAACACAAGTCCCCAGCCGGTCTCCGTCTTCCTCAGTTCTACTTCTTCTTGTCAGTCACCAGTGACCAGGTCACTGCAACTCTCGAGTCCTTGCTGTGCTCCGCGCCGCGTAGGCGTGCACTGCCGCGTGCATAGCTCGAGTCATGCGAGCTCATTTCTATGGTGATCAGATTTCAAGATGTCCTCCCACGTAATCGAGTTTTGGCATCCCAACCGTGAGCCCTGAACTTGTGACCAAGTGCCAAAATAATTCTTGCTTTAATGAATCTAGTAATGATCATGATTCATGAAAGACATGATGATCATCGTAGACGTAGATTTACGAAAAACGGTCGATTGCAACGCTGCAACCCCTGGTAACCAGTGCAGTGGCCCTGACGCCGGATATCAGGAAGAGTACTCTTGATAAGTAAGTAACAGTACTGTGACTACTACTACTAATAAGTAGGGGTGAAAGTTGGCACTGAGATGCCGAGTTCGAGTACTCTGATTTTCTCCGATCGAATATTCGAGTATTCGAGTATTCTTCATCACCTAAAAATTGCACATCAAGGGCCTTAAAATCACATGATACAACCCTGATCGAAGCGAGTAGCAGTCATTTTTCTCGGGTATATTGGTTGGTGGGTCGTTTGGGCTCTCTCTACTCGTGAACAAATGTTCACCACACAGTCTGCACATCAATATCTACCGACTGCTGCTCTGAAACTGCAGATATCTGTGGTAAATGCATGTATCATGTATGAACGAGTACTCTGATTTATTCCGAGTACGATTATTTTTGAAAAAACCGAGCGAGTACTCGAGTATTCGGTGTAATTGTTTCAGCCCTACTAATAAGTAATATAATCGAATGACCATGAATCATGATGACCAGCTGGACCCATGGCATGGAGGCTAGGCTAGGCTTTGCTACAACATGCAATAATGTCTGCGGTAACAGCAACATGCAGGGTAATCGCCCGGTTCGGATATTGTCCGGTAAGGTGTCCAGAATGGCATTCTCGACCTCCTCCTGAAGATTCTGAAGGAGTTTCTGCTTTGGTGTTGATCGGCTGCGTACAGACAATGGGACAGGGCACCTTAGGCCTAGCCCTTTCAAATGGCCAACTCAGCACTCAACATCATACATGGTATTACCATATTGGTGATGCTCATGTGGATCATTGGACTCAGGTTCAAGTTAGAGGTTAGAGGCTGAATGGTTAGCGGTTGGTGAGATTAGCGGTGGCTGCAGGCTTAGCAAGCAGCCACATACAACAGCTACAATTCCAGCCTCGACTGGAGCTTACCGGTACTAAATACGAGTACTCGAGCTTACCCGTGCTGACCCGAGTTTACTGGAGTTAGCCAGCATTATCATTACCATCATTAAAGATCAGCACGGTAGACATATCCGCACAACAAACGACATAGTGCATCAAGTAACACACACATACAGTGACACTGTAGTAAAAAAACAATGACGTTTCGAGGGCACCAACACGAGCATGCAGGTGGAGTACTGACATGCATCCCCAACTACAATTGGCTACAATTGTCCTATCCACGATGGGAATCAACCGTATTGCATGACCGATTCTTTCAATGTCCTTATCTTTCCCGGTTTTCCATCTGGACTCCTCTTTGATTTTATCTTTTCTCTCTACCTATTCTCTTGCACCTTCTTGCCATTATTCACTGATGGGGGGGGGTTAATAAATCATGGAGTTAAAGTCACCAAGCCAAGGCGTGAGAGGTGAAATGACTATGTGAGGGCACACACACGTGACAGTTAGTACTTGATCACGTGACAGTTACCTGATCAGCTCGTCTTCTTCTTCTCAGCAGGACCTTTGGTGGATGGTCTGGGAACTGCCTCCTCGTCGCCATTTCCTGGACTATCTCGTGTCCTCTAGCAGGCCAGGATTCTCTTGTAGCGAGAACATCTTCACCGGAGGAGGGGGTGATCGTATGGGCAAGTTGAGTAGGAGCTAGCATTTGACGGTTTGATACCAGGGCTCGCCATATCCCGTGCCGAGCCAGCTGGCGAGATACCGCCATCCCAGACCCAGGGGCGGTGCGCTTCCGCTGCCCGATTTCGACGTGAGGTGCATCGAGATGACCGTCTCCAAGACCATTCTCAGTACCTTTAAAGCAGGACACAATACATTGCGCTTGCTGAAGCGGATTTGCTCCTTTACATACCGTTAGGTTGCTGTGCTTGCTTTTGGCGATGGTTCTGCACAAGGCCTTGTCACTGTAGGCCAGCCTCGCAACAACCACACTCAGAATTATCGTGTAGATTAGCGTAGCCAGTTGCATGGCGCCCAGGATCGCCACCATCACCGGTAGAGAATTCTGTTTCCCGGATCGTCTAGGCTTTCGCTGCGCAGGTCCCATTGCTCTCTTCTCTTGTTGTTCACCCAGTAAGTGTAATGGTAAAATTACGGCATCTGCAGGATATGGCGTGACCTAGTGGATGGGCTTGTATTGCGCAAGGTGCTGGTACTGCTACAAGCGGCGATGCCAGGCTCTGTTCAGCCATCTAGAGGTCAGAGAACACGGAGCAGCTAGACGAGTACGCCACACCAGGTTGCCCGTCAATCTATTAGCACTGCGTGTAGTGATGTGTACTTGCCTTTCGGTGAAAACAAGACTACTGAATCAATGGACGAGCCAACGGTTTGGCGAACAGCTGGGCAGAGCGAGGAACAGATAGCTCTCGCAGCACCGGTTTGCGTCTCCACACGCTGTTCAAGCACTCACGCTACAGAGTAACCGCCTGACGAGAGTGATTTGGCCAGAAGTCAACTTGCTAGCTTTGCGGCCGTCAGTTGACCACGAGGAGGGAAGAGCTCGGGAAGCCGTGAAAGTCAGCACTGTCGGGTTGTTGGTTGTTCATTGCCCTTTCCATGTTCGTTTCTAATGGCAGAGGGGGTACGTATTGCCTTGCGAGCTCTGGTGGCAACTGAAGTGCAGCAACACGCGGGACACGAATACTACTGATTGCAAAATGCAATTGGCTTGGCAAGGCTGCATGCAATCCTAGTATTGTTTGCTGCACATGTATGATGGCATGCACACGCTTTGGGATTGACACATGCTGTTCTGCTGACTGTGACACTTTACCAGCACTGTACAGTACAGTACTCGGAGTTGTGACTTCAGCACAATGTCAATGCCTACCATTACCAATGGCAATGGTGCAACATCACAGTACTGATTGTAGTTGTGTGCTTCTGTTTGCTCTTTTTCGTTTGCCGCCATACTGTGTTATGCAGCATTGCTGGAACTGTACGAATGTAGGAGGTGGCACATTAGTGCATTAGCACTTGGAATGCAACCACATAGCTGTTCTGTTCTTGCCTGACATTCCTGAGCATGTAGTGCTCGCATGCTTTTCAGCCTTGCTGTGGCTTTGCGGTTTTTTCGATTGCATGAAGTGGTTTGGCTCCCAGAAAGAACCGTGTTCTGGAAGAGTATCCGCATACATACATTGGCAGCTTTGATGGTGCACTATGAGTATGATCTTTGCAGGACTGTGCCAATTCTTAGAATTTGCCTATGGAGTAGATGTTCTGCTTCTCGGGAATCTGTTTATTGATTAGCTTTTTGGCTTTGGTGTTGTACCTTAACACGTTACTTGTGTACCTATTAAAGGCTAGTATGTCACACATTTGCTTGATCAGCTATTTCCGGAGATCTTGGGAGGAAGATGATATACCTGTACCATACATGACTCACTCGCACCTTGTCAATATTCTTATTGTGTACATGTACATGGATCGGATCAGAGGAGAAAATATAGGAGAGTAGAGCCACTACTGTACCAGGGAAACCCAATAATAATCTACTTGTAAAAAAGATGGCAAGTACAGACAATTGGCGGAGCAACAAAAATCAAAAAACGTTAGCCATGTTTTGGCCCAACGAAGCAGGGTAAATGACAGGAGGCTTCGGAGCTCGCCCATTACTATACTACTGAGTAAGCCAGCTGGCTATTGTCCACTAGTCGGGAGTTAGGATGCCAGTGCCTTCAAGAATGTGGTCACATGCCGGAGGTACTGAAGACGAGAGGAGTGAACGCTCCACGATCTACCCTGTTCACTCGGTCGCAATTATGTTCTTTTTTTTGGCCTTTTCATGTGCCTGGAGCTGACTCAGGACTTCCGAACGAGACAGCAGGGAGACTCTCGGGTGAGTGACCCGTACATCAAAAAAAGTATCCTGCTGCCTCGATCGACCAGAAACCCCGAGCCCGAGTATCCAGCCGGGCTCCTGCCGACCTGTTGGCTGACCGGCCCGGCAAATCCTCTCCCTGATAATGGAAGGTCGGCTCGGTCTCTACATCCTTCACCACCTCCCGCATTACCTCTGCCAGAAGATCTCTAATTTCATTGTGGCGAGGGATGGGGTATCCCCCGCATGGGAATGTAGAGAATGATCCGTGGTGAGGGCAGCCCCACACATACAGGTATGGGGGAGACCATCCAATAACAGACCGTAACGCAGGCACAGTGCATCACGGAAATCGGCTTTGTTCAGAATTGTTACACATATTTGGAGACGGATCATACCTCCCGAGCCTCGACATTCGACGCACCATAGCAGGGCTCTGTTTCCTGTACAAGCTACACTTTGTGGAGGGTCCGGAAATGCTGAAAGCCATTCTCCCACCATCAGCAGCCGCACCGCAATGCCTCATGCCGATTCGTGAAACCAGCAGGTCTGTAGCACATCATCCATCACAACTCGCCAGTATCATTCATCTCCTCAGTCTTGAAACAACACACTCCGCTCATTTCCCTACTCCCTCATCGCAACGTGGAATCAGCTCCCACCTACCCTTCTGCAGTTTCCCCCTTCTCGCAGAGGTATGCACACCTTCAAGAAAAATGTCAACGACCACTTGCGGCGCAAGTGGGAGTGGGCCACAGACAGGTTATGATCTCTCCATCGCAGCCAACACACCAGTCTAATATACTGACCGCACTCCAGCCCCCTTCTACCCGACTACCCCTCTCTGATCCCCTTCGCTCAACCGTATCTTGTCTCTCCCAGTCATCGTACCTTATGCGATTATCAGTTCTCTCCATCTTCATATTTCCACGTTGCACTGCTTTTACTAATGTTATGTCCTATCTCAATCTCAAATTCTCCCCATTATCGTTTGCAAACGTGTTCTTTTCTCCTTCGTACCGGTGCAGTAACGATGAATCCGAAACCTCTGGTCGGAGAAGTTACTTCTGCCCCGCCCCCGCTTCCATCCAATAATACTGTCACGCGGCCCCTGCTAGCTGCTGTGCAGCATCTGATGCCGAACTGCAAACAGGTCAAGGCAGTGGTGCCTCACTTGGGGGAAGTCCCACCATAACATCTACAAGCAGTGCAGTGATGTCACTTTGAAATGTGGCGGGAAATATTTCACATGGTGGAATCGTGTTCGATCAAGCCCAAGCTAGCCAAGGTAAGGTGTTCAAGTGTCAAATGGAAAGAGTTCCAGAGGAACGAAACGAAACCTAGGTTCACTTTCCCTGCAGAGCAGCAACCTTCTCTCCAACGTTTCTCGACTTATGTAGCAACGTGGCACGAGAACAGTGTGACTGGGGCGAATGACTGACTGGACTATTCCGGAATTTACCAATAGTATTTATTTGATTGAGGAGGAATTTAGTGGACATCTGTACTTTCTACTCTGCCAGAGTCAGATCACAGTGTATGCTGACTGATTTCAGTAGTTGATTGCTGAGTCCCACCACCCTTTCGATGCCTCCCAAGTCGAAAAAAGAGGAAGAGCCCATCAAACAATGGGTGGCGATTGCACCAGGTATTTTCATGATTAGGAACGTCATACTGTACGTCATAATTGAATTTGAATGTGACATTTTATTCTGCACATACAGCACTGAGTTCCAGTACAGTTCCTCGATATGCAAGCTTCCCAAGACATGCTCTGCAATAATGACATTGTTTAGCGTATCATGATCTGCCATGCATCTACAGTCCTGCACAATGAAATCCAGTCGCGTCGCTCAAGTTTGCGCCTTGCACCATTTCACAGTCCAGTGTTCGCAGGTCTAGGGCTGCGCAACGCCCGGCGCGTACTCCAGGGATGCGACTGGATTTCACTGAGCAGGACTGTGCATGCACATCAGCATACACACGGCACTTGTTCTCTTTTTCAACTTCCGAATTCGTGGACTATTATCACCACTATATACGGGGCAGCGGTGTGTTCAGTTGTACGCATTTAAATTTAGGTGGACTCCAGCTTGAGGTGGTAGGGAGGCTACCGAGAAACAGAAAGTGAGAGTACAGTAGATCCGGTGTGGTGGTGACTTGGTATTGATCAGGCCATGCTTTGCCTTCTATTCTTCTCTCTTTAGAGGCCTGTCGGCTTGGTGTCAAATCCACGGATGAGGAGTCGGCCGCATTCCACACGCTTCCGCATCCGAAGAGTGGTGAGGTTTTTTTTCCTTGCGCTGTGCGATACGAAACTAGATATGTCATACCCGCTCTACACAGACAACATACTCTAGCCTTCAACACCAACAACATACTCTAGCCTTCAACACCAACATGAATCAGCTTGCTGCACTCATGCACTTCTATTAGGCAAAGAATACCCGCCTTGGTGTAATCAATATTGTATGTACAGTAAAACCTGCGCTAACCGGACGCCCGTGGTGCAGCAGAAACTGCCCTGATATGACAGGATTCCGCTTGATCCAGGGATGCACGTTCGATCCACATCACGTTGGTGCATGACAATTTGTCCAGTCAATACAGGATTCCGCTTGCTACAGGGTCCGGCAAACACCGGTTTTACTGTACTTAGCCATTACATACCATACGGTATACTCGCATACTAGTATATAGCGTACTGAACTTAGCGTTCGATTCACCATTCATGTACCAACGGCCCAGGTTTCAAGTTCGAGAATGGTTAGCTGGATTTCATGTGTGTGTGTGTGTGTGTGTGTGTGTGTGTGTGTGTGTGTGTGTGTGTGTGTGGGCGTGTACGTGTGTGCGTGTGCGTGTGTCTGTGTGTGCGTGTGTTTCAGGTGATGCAACACTGTATCTATTCTCTCCGGACTGTAAGACGGTTTGTGAACTAATGAAGTTCCAGAATGAGCCGAGGAGTTGGTTCATCGGCGAAACAGTGCAGAAAGGTGGGCAATTGGTTCTATAGCTGTTTGCACTAGCTACCGACAGCTGGTGCTAGTTTTTCTGTCTGTTCTTCTTTAAGGCATGGATGAAGCGTCATCGGTTTTATCTAAAGCATCAGGGATTGTATGTTCAGATCCCTGGATCAGTAGTCTCTGCCATGTGCATCTGGTACCAATGTTTTTTTTGTTTTGTTTGATCTATCTTGACCTTGCCTTCGGCATGCAGATGGCTCGCTTTTCGTGATGACGCCCATCGATCCTCTTTTCCTGATGCTGCCATTTCTGGTCACAGCTGCTGAGGAGGTTTGGACAGTTCGCTTGTTTTTTTTTGTTTTTTTTTAATCTTTGCCTATAGTTCCCAAGTCTTTATCTGCTGAGAAAGCAGATGTTCACCGATTGTCAATTGTGTGTACTACGGGTTAGCATTGTTGATGTTGTTGGACCCTACTAATACATGTAATCACCATGTGTTTCTATCGTAGTCATCCCACACTTGTGAGCAATTTTGACTATTTTCTGTATCTTGTTTTGTTGACGGTGCAAATAGAAATGTTCTTGTGCTGGCTACCCTGTCACACTCACTATCGCTGGTGTACTGAGCCCTGCATGTTCTTTGTATATGCTAGTACTCCCATGTACTACAGTCTGCCATGGACTTTGACTTTGTATCGCCAAGAGTACACCCTCCATCACCCTCTCTCTGTGCTATTCACATGTTGCTGTCCGTGCAGAGCACGCGGTTCTCGCTGCCAGATCAGATTCTAGAAAACTCCGAGTACCCGGCGGCTGGGAAACTGCTTCAGGCAACCAGCCTGTCACAGGTGGAGATGGTGTGCGATATGAAAGGTGAGAGTCATTGTGGGTTCTGTGATCAGTGACGATGCGTATCGTGACTCTCTTCCAGGGTCACTGTGTGTCTTTGCTCTGACATGAAGTTCATTTAAAAACTGGAGCATTTCTGTAGACGCATGGTTTGATACTCTGATAGCAGTGGAGTCGTTAAATTTGTGCCGCTCCGCAAAATGTTTAGTGCGTGCATTGTACACCGATCTTGGTGGATATTCTGTTCGATGATAGCATCATCATCAGCCGCCACCACACTACACTCTTTGAAGCCATCACGCCTACGTTCAGCACGTCTAGTGTTGAGGCATGCTGGAGAACAAGAGTGTACAAGTCCAGTCTATGGGGTCTGCGATGGCAGAACTTCAAAATCACATGACAAGCCTGTACACACTATTTGCGCCCTGTGCATGATTTTTTAAATCTTTGGGTACAACTCTGCGGTGGCCACTTTGCACTGCTTGCCACCGTAACCCTTAGAGCCATGTCGTGTCATGTGACACTCTGCTGTTGCAGCACTGGATAGAGATTGCACAAGCAGTTGCACGCTTTTGGGAGTTATGTACTCTTGTTGAGCAGCTTATCAGCCAGTTGTGCTTGTCGGGTTTTGACCGTACCAGTTGTATGCTCAACTAATCCGGTTTGATGCCAATGAACACATGAAACAATGTGGACAGTTGTCAAGGCATTCGGATTGTTCTGACCCACTGACCGGGTTATTTTTCTACAGTGAGTACTTCAGTGTCGAGATCTTTCTTCTTCTTTTTTTTAATGTATTATTCATTCACACAAATCTGCAGGCAGCGGAGAGTATCAAGGCTGCCGTCTAAATCAGTCCAAGCTCGAGCTGTGGCTAAAAGCTAAGGTAATGCAAAGATCCTTGTAGAAAGGTTGCTGAACAAGTTTCTGAGTGAAGCCATCGTGTCTGTGTGGCACATTGGCTTAGGATATTTCTTGAATGGCACCCGAAGTCTTCTCTACTCAGGTGTATAGTGTGTTGTTGATGTTGCCCACGGTGGAAGTGCGTACTCTGAATGTACTTACAGCATTACAGCCAAGCTTCAGCAGCTGTCGGGAAGTTCTGTTAGAGTTATTCCACAGCGTTGTGGGTCTTGAGATCCCGGTGCTCCGAATTCGAATGTTGTGATATAGATCAGAGATGGTCCGGGCAAGCATGATTTGAATATCAGGCAGTTTGCATGGTGACAGTACCTATTGACTGTGCCTATTGACTTGGCCTCTGTGTTACCTAGAGTACATGCAACCCAGAGTGTGCAGCTTCTGACTTTTCTGCACTGGTGTCTGTCACGGCGAAATTCCACAATTACATCATATTTTGGTGCCAATATGAGGCGGGAAGTGGCGTAGTGCGTGCAACTGAGCTGCAGTTGTGCAGAAAGAGACCTGCTTGAATCCTGCTTGTACGCACTACATCACTAAAGCGATGTAATCACGGAATTTCGCCGTGACAGCAACCCATCGGAGCTGCACACTCCGGGTTTCATGTACTCTTGGTGTTGCCTGTCGTGTGGCTTCAGGTGGAGCAGCTTGTCTCCCAGCTGAGGCTGTCCAAGGTCAATGTAACGTCGGGTGCCGCGGCTGCAACGTACGTACGCACGTCCACTCAGCATCCGCAGGCTACTCAAGGTGAGTGTGTGTGCCAGTGCAGGCTATGCCATCTGGCTGGCTGGACTATAATTATTCTGAGTCACCTCTCTATCAGACTATTCGATATTGCTCTTGGATGGCTGATGGTCAAAGGTTGAGAGACAGACTAGGGCACAGACTCCCACACATAAGCGCAGAGGTAGACACACGGAGACAGATATATGGTGGATGGAGACAGATATTATGGTGATTGGTTCAATGGCATCTTTCCAAGACGCTCTCTCCCGGAGAGGCCCTGTACCTAGTTTCTCGCAATGAACGAGTACAATTCTCTGTGTGTGTGTGTGTGTGTGTGTGTGTGTGTGTGTGTGTGTGTGTGTGTGTGTGTGTGTGTTTGCAGAAGAATACTGTTACTACGCGTCTGGTTTGCTGTCAAGCTATCTATCCGATAAGCACGTTGAAATCCTCACGAAACTCTACCCAGTACCGTAAGTTTGTGTGTTGTTTGTTGTTGTGTGTAATTCTGAAGTACTTTGTAATAGCCTAGCATGCCGTTCCCTGGTATTGTGAGCAGCCGTGTCCACACTAGACTGCACCGTTAGAGCACTCTGTTAAAGTTCCTTTTAAAAGGTGGGCTTTGCCCGAAAAATCGGATATTTTGTTCATTTCTTGATTGATTGGTGTAGTCTGGAGACTGGTAGCTGAGAGTGTGGTGAGAGTGTGGTGAGAATGCACGGTATACTTGGAGTACAGGTGTATTGCTCCGACCCTCAAATCACCTCTTGGCTCCTCCGTGTGCTTCACATCTGCCCTCATTGTCCGTACTCCTGGCAGCCTGTCCCCATGAACAGCTGTGTGCGAGCAATGGGGTTTATTCATAAAACATGGCTGCCACCTTCCCGAGGGGCAACTTGTCCCATACTTGGCAGGTACAGCCAGTTGTAGTACATTTGTGGGTATGATCGTACACAGTTTATGACCTTTGATGCAGGATTGGTGTCACAGTGTGTACCGTTATAGTGGACTTGCCCCTCAAGATCAAATGGCGGGAGTATTATGCATAAATCCCATTCAAATGCCGTCTACCGGTACCATGCTGTTCGGTGATCGTGACTGCGAGAACACGAACATGAGCGGTATACACTGTGAAGCTTGCTCTGGAGTGTTTCCTTTTAGATAAGGGGAAACGACGCAAACATACTCAGTGTTGCCAGTGCTGCCGCATACTAGAGCTAGCTGGTCAAGCGAGGGCCTGGCCTGATAGAGTTGCCTGTGGAACTGAAGACGAAGTGATGAACAGTGCTGCTCAATGAACTCCGATTGCGCGAGTCAAGTTCGCGCCCTGCACCCAGTTCAGATCCCAGTGATCACAGGTCTAGGGCTGTACAGCGCTGCCCCGCATGCAATCACTCGCTTGCTTGGACTTCACTGAGCATCACTATAGCTGGTTGGATAACAAGGACCGGATTAGTGAGGTAGGACTAACGTTACTATTGAGGTAGGACTCAACTCCATCACCATCTTGACGTGATCATGTTGCTGCGCACACGTACATGTACATGTGCTTCATGCAGGGCAGCTAAATCGGAAGGGGCAAGTCAAGACGAAGATGGAGAGGATGATAGCTTGGAGCCCGCAGCCAAGGTATATTGTACAGTTGGTCTTGTTCTCTTTTCAACCAGCAGACTAGCACAAGTGTTCTGAGCTGTCTGGCTGAGTACCTAGTACACGATAGTATTCATCAGCCTTGCAATCTGTTGAATGCTGTAATTCCAGCTATGCCTAACATAGCTTGTTTGCTATCATCGCTTCAGCGATGGGCATATGGAAGTGGAAGTGGACGTACACGATATACGCACAGTTGTATACAGTAAAACCTGTAACTAAGGCCAAGTAAAAGATTGTTGATCGTCAGAATTTTCTAAAAAATCGGGGCGGACGGGAGGGTTTTATTTTTATTTTATAACTTTTTTTATATCTGCATCGACCGGACATCTTGAAATCTTAGCATGTATTACATCTATGGGGTTGTGGGTGTACTACCATTGTTGATTGTGACCGCTACCACGGTCTGCCTGGGCACACTCCAAACACTTTGAACATGTGCAGATGACTCTGTGATACAATTTCCTGCTGCCATGCGGCAGGCACGCACACACACACCCACACACACATACACACACTTGTACTTGTACTTGTTGCTCACTGCGAAAACTGGTCACGTGGGTCTCCCCGGGAGAGGGGAGAGAGACTCAAAAGGGAATCTTGGAAAGATGACTCAATTGGCTATTGAACCGCCCAACGGCCGACACCCCCTGAAATCCCCAAAACTCTGGGTGGACTTGAAAATGATCCCACTTATGGGCTCACCACACCTCAGTAAGTGGGTGAGGACAAGGTGCAGAAAAAGGATTGACAGCATCAGGGTATCCATCCTGGAATCCAACTGCAGTTACCCCTGCCCCCAGTGAAGGTAATACAGTCTGTATCGCCTATAAGGTTGGCGGCTATAGTAATATACCGGATATAGTGATCAATTTCTCAAATTCATTTTCATTTGCCATAACTAAGTATACACAGTTATCGCGTATAGTAATATATCGCCTATAGTGATCAAATTCTTATTTCAAAAGACCTTTACTACATTATTTTTGCATCGGTTATAGTAATTGATGTAAAATCAAGCGCTGTCAGAGGAGAACAGGGTGTTACTTCTTCGTGAAGAACTTGTCCAGTGAGTGTTGTTGGGTGAGTTTTGCTCGTACAAGTTGCCAAAATATGCCTCCATCGTGAGGAAATGTTGATTTTGTGTGTCAGGAGCTACAGCCAGCTACATGACATTGTACATGTATGTAGTGCGTATGTGCACGGCGCGCCGAGTCGTTTGACACCCCACTCGCATACATTGCATGCAGTATCGGTCATAGTAATATATCGCTTATAGTGATAAAATGCTCAAAATCAAACACCAACGCTATAGGCGATACTGACTGTACTTGCTACTAGTGCGGGTGGCTAAATCAGGCACACACACACACACACATACATACATACATACATACATACATACACACACAAACACACGCGCACACATACACACACACACACACACACACACAGTGGCTGCGCAGTTTCCATGAATGCAGGCGTAGATATCAGGTGGTACATTGTACAGACTACAGTGCCATGTATTGTAGTTGCCAGATTTCACACAAGTACACTGGAATTACACTGCACTGCGTGATGTCGCTACGGTAAAAGCATGTTGAAGCTGTACATAATTATGTACACGAGAGCTCGCGTACGCACGACCTGCTAAAAAAAGTTCGCGTTTCGCTAAACACACGAGTTTTCTACCGTTGATCACGAAAATAAAAAATAAAATAAATCCCGGGACGGACTGAAAAATCGGGGCGGGCGCTGACGATCAACAATCAATTATTTTTACTTCGCCAGGCACGGACGGTCTCACATTCATATAATATGGTTGTGCGGTGCAAACTTCTAACTAAGGACCACCTGCCACTAAAGACCGCTTTCTCTGGCCCCAACGGGTGGTTGTTAGTAACAGGTTTTACTGTATCTCATATTGGCAATTATAACTCCATTATCTGAGGAGTGTGCTCAGTGGTATGCTTGATCCTCAGTTTCTGCACATACTGGACACCTTCCTTCGCCTGGGCACTTCCGCATTAATTTTGTCTTGTTTGTTCTGATATCTGTTGGTCGGCTGCAGCGTGTGAAACGCGCGGCAGACGACTCACTGACACCGGGCAAACTGGACGACTACCGGGATCACGATGCCCCGCAGCCAGTATCAGCCAAGGTGAGATTACATTCTCTGCGCCTGCTTAGACTCTGTCAGTTTTCAGAGGAATGGCGCAGTGCCCAATCTAACGCCAACTCTATGTGTACAGGCCATTTCAAAAAAGATTTGCAATCCTGGCGATCGCCCGGGGAGTTTACCGTCTTACCGTATGAGTGCTCGAGCGCTGCCTGGAAAAACTCACTGTGAACTCGAAGAAATATTCCGCGCGAAAGCATGAAAAATGACAACTCACTGACGTCGGTACATGCACGTCTGGTTTACAACAAACGAGTTCTTCCTCGTGTCGATAATTATTGAGTCGACAGTCAGAGAGGACATGTCGAAAGTGTGGTAAATTTTGACGAGCGGATCGATGCTTCCCAATTCGTTTTGTGACCAAATAGATTCTTTGAGCTGCCGCGGATGAAATTTACTCTCACGATGTGACGAAAACGGCATCGACACAGACTCATTCCCAAGGCCATGATGTGGCAAAGCTATCCGTGTGACTTCGACGACCTTTAGAGAAACGCAGACGCCTGTGAAAGCTGATAGAAGACGGCGTTGACTCCTAAATTCAAATAAATTGGCGATCTTGAAATGCTAAAATAATTCTCAAACAGAAATCGATCGATGTGCGGGTGTATTCAACAACACGTAGCTACAGCGCAATGACATCCGCGTTCACTCACACCGTTTCAGTGTTGTGTGTGTTCACAACTTCACATGGCGTGAGCCAGTCAAGTGTCAGTCAGTTCGGCAGGAAACGCGAGCTCCAGCAACAAGTCGTTTGGCGCAGCCACCAGTGATCTTCTTTGTCTTGTACCGGCGTGATCACCAAAACAATGAAAAAATGAAGAAAACAATTTAAATGATTTTTTGCGCACGCGCAAAAATATGTTAACACAGAAGGCGCATGCTCTATTCCCAACAAACTCTCACGCGCTCATTGTTCTCCGAAGTCCACTGTTCCTGATTTCAGTTCTTGCTTTGTCCGCATTGGCAGTGGATTTCTTTCTCAACCCACCCGCCCACTCCACTATTGTCATCATCATGTTTCCTGTTCTAGTTCTCTCCTGTCGGTATCCATTATCATACCGGCCTACAATAACTACACCGATGCCGTCTACCGGCGAAACTCTGTAAATACATGGAGGGGAGTCAACCTTGCTTACCAGGCTCCTCATACGGCTCATTCAGCCTCTCACACTCAGACGGCTCACTCGGCCTCCGCAGCAGGGCCCTTCCCAGCTGCCATACACACACATTCACACAGCTCTAAGCTGTCACTCACTCAGAGCCTGGCAAAGCAATTGACAAAACCTCCTATTCCCCAAACTGGTTGCTCGTTGTGTGAGTGCGGCATGCAGATGCTTGTGTTAATGTTTGACTTGAAGATTTGTTGGGATTTGAACTCACAATCATGGTCAGCAGACAGCATTCATAACCACAAGGCCAAAAAGGAATGGATAAATCGTGGATTTTGATAAAAAAAAATCGATACTGGCTTCCAGGGCAAATTGTAAACCATAGGAAAAGGCCCGAAACCTGGCCGAAATTCTAACTCCTTAACCGCTGGTCCAATTCTTCCGAAACCTTCACAGAACAATTTGCCGTGCCCTAACAAGCCCTTTTATGTACTTTGTTGTCCAAATTTCCCTTATCTTCATACTTTTTAAGACCAAAACCTGATTGTAAATCTTTTTGAAACGGACTGTAGTGTATAACTATCGTCAATAGATGATTTAAAGGGGAAGTTAAGGCTAAAATCAAAATTTCATCAGTTGTAGTCTTCGGGGTGCTGAGTCGAATGGTCGTGGTCCGAGGAAGCTGAGACGCTCCCTTCCTATTTTAATCCCAATTGAACTCGCGCACTTCCACCAAAACTGGGTGACTGCGCCCTACTAGATGGGGATTTGTATGCAAAATGTCACTAAAAGCGTCATTTCGTTCTTATAAAAGCACGGATGACCGCGATTGGCCCATATGTTGTAGTCTTTTGGACGCTGAGTCGACTGGTTTTGGTCCGAGAAAGCTGCAATGCAGCGTTCCTCCTTTATTCCCAATCGAACATGGTTGAACAAGCGGTCACGTGCTCCTGCGTGCCCAAGTCACCTGGTCACAGCGCCAGCAGGCGACAACTTTCACACCAAGGTTCAACTCGAGTTCAACTCCAGTGACAGGACTGCACCCAAAAAAGGTCAAAACAGGCTGTAAGTTGTACCCTGCAGGCACGGTGACTGGTGTATGCAGGTCGCAGGAGCACGTGACCGCTTGTTCAACCATGTTCGATTGGGAATAAAGGAGGAACGCTGCATCGCAGCCTTTTCGGACCAAAACCAGTCGACTCAACGTCCAAAAGACTACAACATATGGGCCAATCGCGGTCATTCGTGCTTTTATAAGAACAACATGACGCTTTTAGTGACATTTTGCATACAAATCCCCATCTAGTAGGGCGCAGTCACCCAGTTTCGGTGGAAGGGCGCGAGTTCGATTGGGATTAAAGTAGGAAGGGAGCGTCTCAGCTTCCTCGAACTAAGACCATTCGACTCAGCACCCCGAAGACTACAACTGGTGAAATTTGGTTTTAGCCTTAACTTCCCCTTTAATTTAGTTGAAGTGCGAGCTACATCTGATTCGATTTAGGTTTTCCTCAGCAGTCAGAATAGTCTTCCCTGTAACGCTGGAGTTGATTTTCCTGACAATATGTTAGAGTCTGTCTGGGCACAGATGTCTCCGCTCCCTCCCGAAATTGTGCTGTATCATTTTTTTATCATGCCTGGTGACCCTGCAGAAATCTCAGACCGCTGCACAGAAGAAACTCAGCAAAGTGGACAAGAGTGGCATGAAGTCGATGACATCGTTCTTTGGCAAGAAGCCTGCCAAGTAACTGCTACACTTGTGAGTGGTATTTACGTATTGGCGTTTGTCTGCTGGACGTGTATTCTCCGAGAACAACCGGAACAGCCTGGAATGCACTACGCGTATTCATTTGCTTTCACTACCTTGGTTGCTCCTCACGTTTGGCTCGGAACGCTCGTTCTCCTGAATCTCGCCACTTAGTGTGAGCGGCTGTCGAGCTGTTGGCATCATAGCAATCACAGACGTGCACTGCTGTCCACTGTCTGTGACTGTCTGTGACTGGTTATGTACCTACATCGCCAGCACACACTCCACGTGGCCACACAAGACTGCACCGATCGGCACTGCATGCGCCATTATTGATGTGCAGAAACTACCAGGCATTCAACCACGCAGCCACGGCGGCTCTCATTCTCGTTGAGGTGATGCTACAAATAATCTTGTGATTGTTATAATGTCGCACCACCTTCTTTCGAAGGACATTTGAAATCTTCTCACCATCACGAAATGTTTGAAAAGATATCTTTTCGTGTAAAAAAAGTTTTAATCAAGATGTTTATAATAGGCTTCGTAATGCACGTACTTGTAAATACGGACGTTGGTTTTTTATGTATCAATGTATTTCTCAAAATACTCGCAAGGCCTATTATAGTACTAGTAGAGAATTCAAATTATTAAAATATTCTTGATATCGCAGGTCGCATTCATGTCAGAGAGCATGGCGAAGTGACAAAGGTGCAGCATGACATTGGAAATTGGATGAAAATGGTGAGAAAACACCGTCCAACCATGTAGCCTTGTGTGTGTTTCGTGCCCTGCTTGGCAAGAAGGCGTAATTGTTAGGAGTTATCATGCCTCTTAATATGGTTCAGTTATTAATCATTGGTCTGAAAAGGGCAGACACGTTTCTCTACGCGTTGTAGCCGTTGCCATGGTGAGACCAGTGTTTGCAGTTCACTGGCCAGAGCTCGTACATCTGACAGGATGAGGACACATCAAAGTAGTGGAGTTTGATGTCCATTACAATGCGATACATTACTGTATGCCGCTTGTGCTTGCAGGGGTGAGCCTGTGGTGGACAATAGCACTTTGCCAGCGAGTAGCGCTGCTGAATCAGTGCCGTTCTCAGGGTTTGGTCAAATGTCTGCAATGATCCTGTGCTTGTGGGATTGCTAAAATGCGACTGTGGCTGGCCCAGGCCCACTAGTGCCCCCCCCCCCCCCCCCCAGAGTGTGCAACTCTCGCATATCCTGCTGTCCAGACAGATTTCAAGCTGACGTCATTCTTATGATGCAATGCTCATTGCGCGAGTGATTTACTATGTTTGCACTGGGTGTCAACGCATCACATGCGTGACCCTTGCCAAGTGCATCACGGCATCGTCTCTTCTTCCGCATTTCTGCCGACGTGATCCATTATGCCTAAGCCCCAATAGCGATTTATTGCCAAAAGCAAGTCCCGTACGTTGCCGTTACCTCTTAAGTCCGTGATCGGTACATGGCGCTCTGTGAACCAGTTTGGCACACAGCATTCCTGTGGCACTGCGTGATCGACATAACTGGGAATCACGCCAAGAACATTGATAAAGTCGCTGCTCTTGATGAACTGGATTTCGCGAGTAGTTAGCTTCTCTGGCCAAGTTACCGTACTTGGATGCGGGTCGGTGAATGCCTTGCACATGCGCTCGTCACACACTACTATCCACGTCTTCGTTCTGCAGGCCGCCGCAAAGTACTTCTCAATCAAGAGCTGCTTCTGCTGAATGTTGTTGATTGCGTAGATGTCGAGCACCGGGTCGATGGCTCCTTGCTCTGACATGGCGTCCACGAGCTTCAAGAGCTGCCGCTTACGCCTGTCAAGAGTGAGTGAGCGTACCTGCTGGAGATACGTGTCCAGAGTTGGCCGGTAGTGTGAAACGTATACTTGGTCCATGTCGTCGGGGCTGAGCGTCTGCGTCAGCCGTTCTCTGTACGGTCTCTTCGCTCGGCGATAGCAGCGTGTAAGCCACGCCAGCACCAGCACCAAGAGTACTGTCAGCCCTAGGCACACGGAGAGAAGAACAACCTCTTCTGAGGTCACAGCTGGTGCCGCCGCTGCTGCTGCTGCTGGTGGTGGTGGTGGTGGTGTTGCGAGTAGTGCGTCTCCTGGAGAGAAAATTCCAAGGCACACATTGTACTTGTGAGTCCACTGCATACAGGCAGGTACAATACGCCCATTGCGCAATGGCGTAATTTGTACCATTAACACCCCTGGACAGCCACCTGGGCATGGTCGTCTGGGGTGTTGAACAGTGCATTGCTGATCCCAGTGTACTCACATGCATTACTCATACCTTCCATATTTGGCAATGCGCAATGGGCTTATAGAATTAACTGGGTGTGTTGGACTAGGCACTGGCCATAACTAGGAATTCCCCCCCCCCTCCCCCCCCTCCCCCTCCCCTCCCCCGACTCGGAACATACGAAATGTCATACCGATTGCTTGCAAGTAACGAGTTGTCCGTGGGCCAATCAGAATTCCTTGGGGATCGTGTTTCGTAGAAAAGCCAGTACCGGTAGTTTGTGTTCCTTGAGAGGGGTGGTAAAGAGGGCCGGTAGACACGGCAGTGCCCGGATCAGGGGTGGTAAAGATGCCTGGTAGACACGGCAGTGCCCGGATCAGGGGTGGTAAAGATGCCTGGTAGACACGCGAGTGCCCGGATCAGGGGTGGTAAAGATGCCTGGTAGACACGCGAGTGCCCGGATCAGGGGTGGTAAAGATGCCTGGTAGACGCGAGTGCCCGGATCAGGGGTGGTAAAGATGCCTGGTAGACACGCGAGTGCCCGGATCAGGGGTGGTAAAGATGCATGGTAGACACGCGAGTGCCCGGATCAGGGGTGGTAAAGATGCATGGTAGACACGCGAGTGCCCGGATCAGGGGTGGTAAAGATGCATGGTAGACACGCGAGTGCCCGGATCAGGGGTGGTAAAGATGCATGGTAGACACGCGAGTGCCCGGATCAGGGGTGGTAAAGATGCATGGTAGACACGCGAGTGCCCGGATCAGGGGTGGTAAAGATGCATGGTAGACACGCGAGTGCCCGGATCAGGGGTGGTAAAGATGCATGGTAGACACGCGAGTGCCCGGATCAGGGGTGGTAAAGATGCATGGTAGACACGCGAGTGCCCGGATCAGGGGTGGTAAAGATGCATGGTAGACACGCGAGTGCCCGGATCAGGGGTGGTAAAGATGCATGGTAGACACGCGAGTGCCCGGATCAGGGGTGGTAAAGATGCATGGTAGACACGCGAGTGCCCGGATCAGGGGTGGTAAAGATGCATGGTAGACACGCGAGTGCCCGGATCAGGGGTGGTAAAGATGCCTGGTAGACACGCGAGTGCCCGGATCAGGGGTGGTAAAGATGCCTGGTAGACACGCGAGTGCCCGGATCAGGGGTGGTAAAGATGCATGGTAGACACGCGAGTGCCCGGATCAGGGGTGGTAAAGATGCATGGTAGACACGCGAGTGCCCGGATCAGGGGTGGTAAAGATGCATGGTAGACACGCGAGTGCCCGGATCAGGGGTGGTAAAGATGCATGGTAGACACGCGAGTGCCCGGATCAGGGGTGGTAAAGATGCATGGTAGACACGCGAGTGCCCGGATCAGGGGTGGTAAAGATGCATGGTAGACACGCGAGTGCCCGGATCAGGGGTGGTAAAGATGAATGGTAGACACGCGAGTGCCCGGATCAGGGGTGGTAAAGATGCATGGTAGACACGCGAGTGCCCGGATCAGGGGTGGTAAAGATGCCTGGTAGACACGCGAGTGCCCGGATCAGGGGTGGTAAAGATGCCTGGTAGACGCGAGTGCCCGGATCAGGGGTGGTAAAGATGCATGGTAGACACGCGAGTGCCCGGATCAGGGGTGGTAAAGATGCATGGTAGACACGCGAGTGCCCGGATCAGGGGTGGTAAAGATGCATGGTAGACACGCGAGTGCCCGGATCAGGGGTGGTAAAGATGCATGGTAGACACGCGAGTGCCCGGATCAGGGGTGGTAAAGATGCATGGTAGACACGCGAGTGCCCGGATCAGGGGTGGTAAAGATGCATGGTAGACACGCGAGTGCCCGGATCAGGGGTGGTAAAGATGCATGGTAGACACGCGAGTGCCCGGATCAGGGGTGGTAAAGATGCCTGGTAGACACGCGAGTGCCCGGATCAGGGGTGGTAAAGATGCCTGGTAGACACGCGAGTGCCCGGATCAGGGGTGGTAAAGATGCCTGGTAGACACGCGAGTGCCCGGATCAGGGGTGGTAAAGATGCATGGTAGACACGCGAGTGCCCGGATCAGGGGTGGTAAAGATGCATGGTAGACACGCGAGTGCCCGGATCAGGGGTGGTAAAGATGCATGGTAGACACGCGAGTGCCCGGATCAGGGGTGGTAAAGATGCATGGTAGACACGCGAGTGCCCGGATCAGGGGTGGTAAAGATGCATGGTAGACACGCGAGTGCCCGGATCAGGGGTGGTAAAGATGCATGGTAGACACGCGAGTGCCCGGATCAGGGGTGGTAAAGATGCATGGTAGACACGCGAGTGCCCGGATCAGGGGTGGTAAAGATGCATGGTAGACACGCGAGTGCCCGGATCAGGGGTGGTAAAGATGCATGGTAGACACGCGAGTGCCCGGATCAGGGGTGGTAAAGATGCATGGTAGACACGCGAGTGCCCGGATCAGGGGTGGTAAAGATGCATGGTAGACACGCGAGTGCCCGGATCAGGGGTGGTAAAGATGCATGGTAGACACGCGAGTGCCCGGATCAGGGGTGGTAAAGATGCATGGTAGACACGCGAGTGCCCGGATCAGGGGTGGTAAAGATGCATGGTAGACACGCGAGTGCCCGGATCAGGGGTGGTAAAGATGCATGGTAGACACGCGAGTGCCCGGATCAGGGGTGGTAAAGATGCATGGTAGACACGCGAGTGCCCGGATCAGGGGTGGTAAAGATGCATGGTAGACACGGCAGTGCCCGGATCAGGGGTGGTAAAGATGCATGGTAGACACGCGAGTGCCCGGATCAGGGGTGGTAAAGATGCATGGTAGACACGGCAGTGCCCGGATCAGGGGTGGTAAAGATGCATGGTAGACACGGCAGTGCCCGGATCAGGGGTGGTAAAGATGCCTGGTAGACACGCGAGTGCCCGGATCAGGGGAGTTTTACTGTATAGCCTATAGGTACAATCTCACACACCAGGGAGAGAGGGAGAAACTACACCCCAGTGTGCGATCATCGGGAAACTGTGACATCTTGTCAGGCTAACCAACTGCTTTCAGCTGCCATCTGATAATATTTCAGTCAGATAAACAAGTTGTAATGTGCTGACACTCATCCTTGGTTGTCTACTCAATCACTTGCCTTGACAGTTGGCGCTGGGCAGGGTACACGTGGTGTTTTCCTCAGCTGCACCGCGGCAGTCGTCTCCACCGAACTGCGGCGCAGGAGTGTTACAGCTGCGCCATCTCCTCTGGTACCCGACTGTGCAATTGTCCCCCGCTGTAGCATTCTGTTTGCACTCTGTCCACGCCGAGAAGTTGCTCCAGCTGCCGTTCACTACAGAGTACACGGCATTGGGTAAACATGGGCTGGTTTGCACGGAGCTAGGATGCCAGTGCATATGTGCAGCAAGCACTCAGTGCCACAGAGCAGAGCTACACACACAGACACGCACACACACACACACCTGGAGATATGTGGATTTTGTAGAGAAAAAAAAACAAAAAAAACACACACAGACACAGGTACTTCAAGTACACGATATTTACTAACATATGCGGTGCGTGTATGTGACAGACTGCTGGCATACACGGGTGGCTGTGTAGTAGTGTGTTGGCGTTGTATTGCGGCAACTCTCTTACCTGGTATGCACAAGCTGGATGGACAAGCGACTTTCCTTTCTTCGGCGTCCCGCAGGCACTTCAAATACGATTTAGTTGCTAGGCTGACATAAGGCTGCACCGTACATGTGCGCCTTTGTATTTGCTGAGCTCCGTTCACTGTGACATTCAGAGAGCTGTCCTCTTCCATACGCACCGCTTCCCAGCCGCTCCACACTGCAGGAAACGGTGGGAATACACGTGCACACACGTATACATTTATAGACACGTGCACATCATCATTGCAAGAGTGATAGGAACAGAAAGAAGCATGCGCACACACATGCACACACACACACACACACACACACACACAGGCACACACACACCTCAGACCTCAGACATGCCCATCGCGGAAGCGATGATAGCGAACAGCTATGTTAGACATAGCAACTTGTGCTGGGATTACACCATTCAACAGCTTGCAAGGCTGATGAATTGACCGCCACTATTTTTAGCCTGGTATCCACCTCACAGCTGTTGGAATGACTTTTTCTGGCCAGTGAATCCCTATTTTTCATTTTTTCCATTTTTTTCTTCTTTTTTTTCTTTTTTTCTACACACACACACCACACCACATACTCCGGCATACACTGGCTGTTGGTAACCACCCAGGAGAATGAAAGAAAAGTCAGGAAGAGTCCGAGAAAGAGAAGAAAGACGTGTGTGTCCCATATGGTGCAGTGGTATGTACACAAACACACACACACACACACACACACACACACACAGGCACACACACACACACACTCCATTTCCAGGAGCTCGTGAGAAGATGACACACCTAGCTCATCAATGATGAAATCTCTCTCCGCCGGGTTCGCTGCCCGTGATGACTTTCCACGAGCTGTCGTGAAATCCGTCCACATCTGTGCAGTAGAAACAAGAAGAGGGGCAATGTTTGAACTGGAATCGAGGCACTTTTGTATGCTTGAAGTGATCACAAGTGATTGGATATAGTCACCGCTGTCTCTTCTAATGTACCTGTGTTACTTTTGTTGAGTTGACTCTTTGATATGGATGGCCCAGAGGATCAGAGTCTATGGAAAGGTGCAGGACATATTTTCATACTACAGCCGTCCTTCTTCAATCAAGCACTTTATAAACCAGCACCCTCTGTAAACCAGCAGGATTTCCAGGAGCCGAAATGTCCTCTTCCTGCATACTGGGCAAGTCAGAGTTGGTAATCCAGCACCCTCTCTAATCCAGCAGAATTTCCGGAGCACAACTGGTGCCAGGTTATAAAGGGACCGGCCACTGTATGGAGAAGGGTGGAGTGGGAAATCATGCTGGGAAAATCCCTTTGAAATAGCCTTATAGGGAATGCTCAAGGTTGATAGCCCTTTGAACCAGCCTTATAGGGAATGCTCAAGGTTGATCTATTGCAACCTCGGTGCGGTTGTACGTATGGTATGCATTGTAGAGCAATGAGTGCTGTGCTACGGGATGTGGTGAAGGAATGCTTTCGCCTTCCTCTTGCCCAGCTATATATTTGGGCTGTCCGAGTTAACTTTTCTAAGCACTCGCAAGAGAAGAAGAGACCGTATTTGGAAAGTTCAAGTTGAGGTACTGTACCCTGTTGTCCGAGTAGCAGTATGTTTAATGGTTTATGGTAGAAAAGTAGGCCGGAACCTCACCTCCACAGATATAGAGCTGTTCATTGGCAGTATGGTTTTGTTGAGAGTAATCTCTCGAGCACTACCCTGCGGCAATGATAGAAAAGACAGACACGATACTCATACTAGTGCTGTCAACAGCAACATCAGTGCCGCTACAACGTATACTTGGAATGGAAACAGGCGCTCTGTCAAGTGAATGCCATGAAGCTGGATTCAACTGGGCCAGTTACAGTGATGCCGGCCACTCGTGTTCAAAAACCTACTAAACAGCTGAGCAACCGAGCTTCTAGATCTAGACGAGAGCTTCATCCTGAATCCCGTCGTGATGGGAAGCTTGGCAGTATGACCGTGCCCATTGTCACGGTTGGCAAACCGAAAAGGGGGAAGAAACTAGAAAGCCAGCCGGCTAGAATCTATCTGGCCCTCCCTCGTGTGTGTGTGTGTGTGTGTGTGTGTGTGTGCACGCACTGTGGATTACTGACCGGCATTCGAGCATTCCACAATAGTTTTTCCATTACTGTCTCGATAACGAGGTAGATATTGTCCACCGCACCCGGGCGCACTGCCCACGTGATCCGAATAGTTCCGTTCTCATCCATCGTCATATCGATACTATCGGTGGGGATTTCAACGGACACTGTACAACATGGAAAGACAAGAGATCGAGGACAGCGCACTGTACTGGCGTTCCACATGACCCGCCTTTCTGTGTACAATTTTTCTCTACCTCCGTAATCTCCAGACAGCTACGATGTAGGTGTTTCGACCTTGTAATGTTTGGTCTGATCAGAGGAGCTCAGAGTCACTGGGATTTTTGGTCTTCATAATGAATCGCTTTAAATTTCAGCAGTTGAGTTGTAGTAAAATTAAAGGCCTTGAATAGTTTTTATTCCCGTAGCTATGCAGAAGACGTTACTTCAGTAACGTCTGGCGCTAGCCAGGGTCCACACAGCTTTAATTTGGTGTTTGTTTGTTTGTTTGTGTGTTTGTGTCACGTCTGGCGCTATCCCGTATCTGTCCCGTACCATACCGTACCATCAAATACAGCTGGCCACATACAGCTGGCCGCAATATTCAAATGAGGCTTTCAAACGCAAGATCATAACGTGAAGCAACTTGGAAGAATGAGTATGAATGCGAAGTGTATGGGGGAATGCATGTAGGGCTATAGTGCGGGTTCGAATCCCAGGTTATGCCTGAAAAAATAGGAGAATTGAAAAATTTATAACATCCCTAATCTTTTTTTGCCGTCATCAAGGCGGTAGATGGTGTCGTATTACCCTCGACCGTACCTGTCCCGTACCTGCCCCGTACCTGTCCCGTACCGTACCGTACAATCAAAGACGGCTGGCCACAATGCATATTCAAATAGGGCTTTCAAATACAAGATCATAACGTGAAGCAACTTAGAAGAATTAGTATGTATGCGAAGTGTATCGGGGGATGCATGCAGGGCGATAGTGCGGGTTCAAATCCCAGGTTTAATATGTCTAAAAACAAAAAGTAGAAATTTATAAGAATTTATAACATCCCTATGCTTTTTTTTGTCTAGGTCATGAAGGCAAAAAGCATAGCGTAGGGCCCTGAGCTTCCAATTTCTCTCGTTGAAATCAAAATATTTGCCGAGTTGGAAGGAGGGCATCAGAGTCGCTTGCTGAACCGATCGCAACACTGTCCAATGAACAACAAAGCATTGCTAAACCGCTCAACGCCTCAAAATCACAGTGCTCCAACTGTGTGAATCACAGCGAGCTTTGCAGCTACGCACAAGTGCATTCTCCACTTATGTGTTGCAGACATCATTATATTGGAATCACTACAGTTGAAAGCCGTCAGTAGCATGCAGCTAGTATTCACTTTTTACATCAAACCAAGGCAATGTTCAAGCTCAGCCTGGCAACCAGTTGCCTGGTAATGTCATGTGCGACATTTCCAAACGCAAAGCGCGAGGGTAGTGAACGAGGCTGGAGAGTGTCGCTGAGTACATTAATTGTAGCTACGGTAGTCGAAACAGAACAACGGAAAGTCGATCCATTCATCCTGAGCCTGTTGAAATGACACCGGATCGTTCTTGACAAGAATGGAAACTTCAGAACGGCCTGCACACACAACCATATTTCCACCAAAGGAAGGAAGACACAATGGAACGAAACACCCTCGTTGAGTCCATTTTGGAGCTCAGGGAAAGGAATTACACACTCTTGATCCCACCGCAGTGGTAGACTTAAATTCAGGGAAATGGGTGTTACAGCTGCCTTGAAAACTCGGTTACAATGTACTTCAATCACAGCGCAATGCATAACTCACAACACGGACAAGGTGTCCATGCGCACTTGAATATTCGACAGTACTTGGCAAAGATATCTGCAACAAAAAAAAAGCAGCGCATTGGTAGGGCAAACGCACATGGAAACTCCATGTAAAAAAAACAAAACATAACAACACAAGAGATATTCACAGGTTTGATGGAAAGATGCAAAGAAGAGAGTCAATTGATCTTTGCACACGCCCTGCCATAACCCAGGCGAGGTCCCTGCTGGTTGATTTTATGCGTTGGATATGCAGTGGCATGAGCCGTGCCGTATGTCTCCTTTGCTGGTCAAGCCCGCATAGTGTGTTCCTGGAAAATCAAGCCAAATCCATGCTGATTGTATCCGAGTATATATCCCAAAAGCTGGAACACAACAATTGGTCGAAACTTTGACCGATATCTACATGTGTATCCAATTATCCATAGCATGCTGGTTCATTTGATCTTTTTTCTCTCTCTTGTCCAAGAACTGGCTACACACCCCACGTGAGCATGGCTACACACCCCACGTGAGCATGGCTAATCATTATAGTTCGTACATGTACATAATCACAGCTCTACACCCATGATCCAGTACATGCAGAGTGTGAAATAGAGATCAACCGGCTGTGGCCAACCTTCACCATGATGGTTGCGTAGCAGCCGATGCTGCCCTTACCCTTACCCTTACCCTTACCGGCTGGAACGATGGGTATGGTGTAGTTGACCAGTGTCCGGCGGTCGAGCTGTGACTTCGTTATGGGAAGGTTGATAATCTATAGGTTCCAGTGCAGGGGATTAGAACAAGACGTGGACTTGTCAGGCACAGGTATGCTAGGGGAAATCCCATCCACAGTGCATAGCTGGCATGCAATGTCATTACTGCCCTGGAAATCATATAAGAATGCTGCTGGGCATCATTGAAACATGCACACATAATATTTATGTGGACCTGTTCCCACACTCCACCACTATTATTATGTGGACCTGTTCCCACTCCACCACTATAATAATTATAGTGGTGCAGTGGGAAACAGGTCCAGGGCGCCAGCCTTGCACTTTGGCTCGGATTTCACTGTTTATGCACTATGCAGTGAAACCTGAACAAGCAATGCAAACACTATCTGGCCACACATCCTTTACAGTATACAGTATACACCATGGCAATGTGAATCATAGTACATGTACATGCACTTCAAAGTACTATGCTAGGCCGCGAGTGAAGAGGGAGTGTGCCTTTTCCAACCTGCTCCACCTACCCGTATCTTTCCAACGTACTGTCCCATGAAGTCCGTCTGTAGGTAGCTTGTCGTGAGCAGCGTGACTGGATTCAGGATATCCGCACCGCGCACCAGAGCACACACGGCCGCGGTGTTGGGTAGACCTCCGTTAATGATCACCTGGTATATAGCATCGTTGAACTGTGACACTGCGGCGGCGACAAGAGAGCGCAAACTTGAAACGGTTAATCTTGGTTAGAGTTTGCTTGAGGCATGCAACGCTAGCTGCCCATTTATCTAACACTACAGAAAGATGTTTTATTGAACACACAAGCCCATGATGATATGAATGCAAGGAGAGTGAAGAATTCAAACAGAGAACAGCAAAATTGATTGATAAAAATGTGAATTGCAACAGCAATGCAATGTTTATCGAAGAGAAAAGGAAAAATGAAACGAAAACGTTGACAAAAAACTCCAAACATTATCTAACACTACGGCTGTGCATAGGACTGGTCTAGGCAGCCGCAACACAAAGTCACCTATTAAGGGTGAATCCTGAAAATTCGAACAAAAGGTTAAAATTCGAGCGCACGGCTCTATTAAAAAACTTTCTTCAAGGATCAATTTCAGTCACTATTATTCCCACATGACTGGGTCTGATAACTTGAATCCCAAACTCGACATGCCTGTCCTGGGATTCGCACGTAACATATTATGAAAAGCGAGTTTTCTCCGCTTAAGGCTGCTTTTCTTCTCACATTTCCCATCTGCACTATGGTTGTCGAAAACACATTTTTATCACTCTTATGTTCTTCCTTTGTTTGATTACTGCTCTCTCGTTTGGTCCTCCGGTCTATCCTCCACTCTTATGCATCGGTTAGAATTCACGCACCGTAAATTGCTTTTGATTAATATTCCGTATGCCCCCTCTAACCTGCTCTCAGACGCTATACATTTTCACGGGCTTCCTCTTCCCCTCTCTCAGAACGCTTTCCCCACTCGGCATGCAAATTTATTCACCGTATTAAGCTTAAACTTGCTCTTCCGCATGCACTTGCGCATTTGATCTGGTTCAATAATAGCTCGCCTACTAGATGTTCTCTCCAGTTCCCACTTGCCAGATCATCGATCCCTTTAAAATCCTCTCTATTCAATGCCATTCTCATTGGTCCCGGCTTCCGCAGGAGGTAAAGTCTCGTGCCACTTATGCTGCATTTTGTTCCAATCTGCACGCGCCTACCTAAACTTCATACTGCTCTCTCCAGGTTCCTTTAGTACTCTTTTTGTTTTGTTTTCATTGTTCTTTTTTCTCATTCTTTTTCTCAGTTTTAAAATTCCGGTACTAGTACAAGTACCCTTACCTGGAAAACGGGTTTACCGAAAATTTTCCTCCACCAAACCGCCGATTTTGGAGAATACCGAAAATATTGCACCACCGAAGATTTCCGCTTTACAGTACATGCACACGTAGTGGTACTCACCAGCTGCTGGTGGCAGTTCCGGGTTGATGAAGACATGGAATCCTATCCTGTCCACGCTATACTTCACATTCATGCTATAGTTCATCGAGCTGAGAAGTCTTGCTTCGCAATAGTCTGGAACTATGGGAAGAGGACTGATGGAGGTCACATCCTCCCACCATAGCGGAAACAGGGCAGCGTAGCATAGGGTCCCTGAGGTGGAACAACAGTCATTGCCGCATGATTTTTAGACATTTAACTACAATGTGTGTGAGTGTGAGTGTGTGGCGGAGTTGGGGTATGTAAGGCCTGTCTGATGTTGTAACTCAGATGAGAGAGAATCAGTGGGCAGACAGGCCCTCGTGGACTGTAGCCATTGCATATCAGTTGCATGTTTCTCTTGTGACAAGCCGGTATATGGCTGATGGTATGTGAGTACAAGCACAACATACACCTCATCAAGACTGTAGACAGAAATGCATGTCAGCGTAGGGTAACAGTACGCACTTGCACCAAGGGGATATCCCTTCAGCCAATCTGCCGGCATCTTGCATGGATCTTCTGGCATGTAGATAGTGGAACACATACACATACATTATACACATACACACATACACATACACATACATTATACACATACACACACACATACACACATACATATATACACACATATACACATACACATACACACATACATTATACACATACACATACACACATACATTATACACACATATACACACCCATATGCAAACACACGATTCCACATACACAAACACACCAGCACGCATGCACAGGCAAAGGACAAAATAAGGAAATGACTAGGGCTGAAACGATTATACCGAATAATCGAGTACTCGTTTGATAACTCTAACGACCGAGCAATCGTTTAGATTACCGATTACGATTATTTTGCGTTTTTAAAATTTTCAATTTCTTACGCACTGCACGCGCGACTCGCCTTGGTACATGCTGTCAAAATCAAAAAACAGTCCTAGTGTAGTACAACGAAGCTGGAGCATGAAGCTCGAAGGTCAAGGTCGCGTCCGGTCTGCATACATAACACTTTTTTCGTGCAAAATTTTGTACATATTTCCACTTTTGGCCATTCTACGTACATATTCCAGGTGCGGCCTCTTAAAGATTATAATCGAATAATCGATCGTTATGATAAAGAGTAATCGATTGGGCTAAATGGATGATCGTTTCAGCCCTAGAAATGACCCTACAAAATATAGAGGCTTTCTTGGCCACAAAAATGATATCACACTACTAAGAAGGAGGACACGCTTCAGATTCTTCAACAGAAACATTCTGAAAAATAATCAGGGGTCAACTGGGTGTGTCTTTAACTAACGAACAGTTAATTTGAACTAATTTTCTTAAAATCAAATTTTCAACAGTTGTAGTTTTCGGGGTGCCGAGTCGAATGGTCTTGGTTCGAGGAAGCTGAGACGCTCCCTTCCTCCTTTATTCCCAATCGAACTCGCGCACTTCCGCCGAAACTGGGTGACTGCACCCTCCTAGATGGGGATTTGTATGCAAAATGTCACTAAAAGCGCCGTTTCGTTCCTATAAAAGCACGGATGACCGCAGTTGGCCCATATGTTGTAGTCTTTTGGACGCTGAGTCGACTGGTTTTTGTCCGAAAAGGCTGCGATGCAGCGTCACCTGGTCACCGTGCCTGCAGGGTACAACTTACAGCCTGTTTGGGTGCATTCCTGTCACTCCAGTTGAACTCTAGTTGAACCTCGGTGTGAAAGGTGTCGCCTGCTGGTGCAGTGACCAGGTGACTGGTGTACGCAGGAGCACGTGACCGCTTCTTCAACCATGTTCGATTGGGAATAAGGTCCGAACGCTGCATTGCAGCCTTTTCGGACCAAAACCAGTCGACTCAGCGTCCAAAAGACTACACCATAATTATGGGCCAACTGCGGTCATCCGTGCTTTTATAGGAACGAAATGGCACTTTTAGTGACATTTTGCATACAAATCCCCATCTATAGTCAGTTTCAAAAAGATTAGCAATCCTGGCGATCGCCCGGGGAGTTTGCCGTCTTACCGTATGAGCGCTCGAGGGCTGCCTGGAAAAACTCACTGTGAACTCGAAGAAATATTCCGCGCGAAAGCATGAAAAATGACAACTCACTGCACTGACGTCGGTACTCGTACATGACTTTGTGTTCGTCTGGTTTACAACAAACGAGTTCTTCCTCGTATCGATATGGAGTCAGAGAGGACATGTCGAAAGTCTGGTAAATTTTGACGAGCGGGATGCGTCCCAATTCGTTTTGTGACCAAATAGATTCTTTGAGCTGCCGTGGATGCAATTTACTCTCACAATGTGACGAAAACGGCATTGACACAGACTCATTCCCAAGGCTATCCGTGTGACTTCGACGACATTTTGAGAAAAGCAGACGCCTGTGAAAGTTGATAGAAGACGGCGGCGTTGACTCCTATTCAGATAAATTGGCGATCTTGAAATAAAATAATTCTCAAACAGAAATCGATCGATCGATATCGATGTGCCGGTGCATGTATGCAACAACACGTAGCTACAGCGCAGTGACTTCCGTGTTCACTCACACGGTTTCAGTGTTGTGTGTGTTCACAACTTCACATGGCGTGAGCCAGTCAAGTGTCAGTCAGTTCGGCAGGAAACAAGAGCTCCAACAACAAGTCGTTTGGCGCAGCCACCTTCTTTGTCTTGACTCTTGTACAAAAATTGTACCAGCGTGATCACCAAAACAATGAAAAAATGAAGAAAAAATGTTTGCCTTGAAGATTTGCTGGGATTTGAACTCACAACTTCATGGTCAGCAGACAGCATTCATAACCACAAGGCCAAAAAGGAAGGGATAAATCGTGGGTTTTTATAACAAATCGATACTGGCTTCCAGGGCAAATTATAAACCATGGGAAAAGGCAAGAAACCTGGCCGAAATTCTAACTCCTTAACGGTTGGTCCAATTGTTCTGAAACCTTCACAGAACAATTTGCCATGCCCTAACAAGCCATTTTATGTACTTTGTTGTCCAAATTTCCCTTATCTTCATACTTTTTAAGACCCAAACTTGATTGCTAATCTTTTTGAAACAGACTGTAGTAGGGTGCAGTCACCCAGTTTCGGCAGAAGTGCGCAAGTTCGATTGGGAATAAGGAGGAAAGGAGAGTCTCAGCTTCCTCGGACCAAGACCATTCGACTGAGCACTGTGACCCCGAAAACTACAACTGGTGAAAATTTGATTTAAGGCTTCACTTCCCCTTTAATGAGGAGGTTAACGGGCACCCTTTAGCGGCCACGTTTAATTTTTGCGCAGTTTTCACATAAGTTCTGATTTTAATTTACTAGTATCTGTTCTCAGATTGCATTTTGAATTTTTGATATCACATGATTCGCAAATTGATTTGTGTCTGATAGTTGCAGAGGTAGATCTACTACAAGTAGGTGCAAAAATGCAACAACAATGCAGGCATCCAGTGTGAAGTTGTAAGTAATTAACTCCTGCCTGGAATGCGCAATCCCAGCAGTGTTGTTCCGTGCTGACTGGATCACCGAAATCCAAACGGGTACCCTTTTACTAACGGTACCCGAGATTAACGGGCGCGTACCCGGAAAGCCCCTTTGACCCCTAAAAATAATCCCCGAGTATATTTTCTTCGGTTGGAGTACTGAGGTCTACCCCTGCTGCACTTTTCGGCCAGTGTTTGGCAGCAGTTCAGGTTCTGATGTGTTGAGACTAGAGGAGCATCTTGCCAGAATCCCTATAACTCAAGCTCCAGCTACACTATACCTTCTGGAGGTGTTGCGATATTGCTGGTGGTTGATGTCGGTTGCAAGGCTTCATTTGCACTGGGTGATGCTGGTTGTAGGGTACTTGGGGAAGGTGCTTCAGTTGGTGATGTGATAACCTGAACGTGCACACATGATTAATCAGGGCAAGGTACTCAGTATCCAATAACACACACACACACACATACACACACACACACACATACACACACACCTCACACACACCTCACACACACACACACACACACACACACACACACACACACACACACACACACACACACACACACACACACACACACACACACACACACACACACACACACACACACACTCATCTACACAAACACACATGCACGCACACGCACATACTCACTCGCGCACAGCAAAGCAAATATTTAGTAGTACAGCCCCGGCCGTATCTGCAAAACGCTCAGTGCTTTGCCATACCCATGGATGGGGCTATGATGACCTCCACGCAAGGGTGATGACAGATTGCCGTTTTCACGGGCAACAGTTTAAAAACATGTTGCGTCGTATCCACTACACGGGGGGAGCCTTCAAAACGCTCGTTTGTAACTGAACCGTTGCACGTCACACACCAATGTTTGGTTACTGACAATGTACAAGCAGGGATAGGTGTCACACAGTAACAATGGCTGGGTGTACATGACTGTTCCCTCACTCTGCTGTCAGTACATCATACATGTACTGTGCTTGCGTGCAGTGATTGAACATGCCACACACACTCTCCTTCTACTCCTAGCATGCATCACCAGCCAATCCCAGTATCACAGATGAATACGGTCCAGACAGCCGGATACAATATCTGTACTGTCCCGACAGCCCGCAGGATACTGGCACCATCACGTTCACATAGTGCGTGGCGTGCATACTCGTAATGTGGCGGCAAAGAGTTACCAATGCTGTAAGTCTGAGTGTCACCACAAACGGATTTATGTGCTCTTTTCTTGACATGTTTGTTACGCTGTTGTGACAAACCCTAGCAACACTGTCCCATAAACCCATGATATGATCCGTTCCAGCCCGACCGCCAGAGATACACGAGCCGGGTTCCATTATATTAATTTTTTTGTAAAACCACTCCTCCCTCAACGGTTTGTGTGTTGTGCCACTGTGTATGCAGCTCAGTACTCGCTCCACATCAGCTCTCTGCTCTCGCCACACTCGACGAAGCCTGGCCTGCACAGGCTACACTGACTGTCTGTACTAGGCTACAGACACTGTCAGTGATATTCATTGCAAGACTTCAAAGGCGCTCGTACTTCGCGGTTTGAAAGCCGTTTGAAAGCCGTGTTTTGCAGCACGGCTTCGTGGTAACGAGTACCGGTAGATAAGAAAGTGCACAGACTGTGGTAACATGACGCCCTCCTCAACTCTTTCGGCCTATATTATAATATTAGCTATGCGCTCAAACAGTCATTGATCACTATTCTAAAAAGTATTGCTCCGCCGACCATGGTCATGCATGCCAGACTGACGGACGAAGGCCAGCCGCTTGAATGCATCGCGGTAGGCGACCTCAGGCTCAGAAGATCCACCATTACACCAACTAATTACTTCTATTCATTGGTTTCATGCATTGACCTGGAACCTCTCTGCTGTACTGGTTTCATGCATTGATGCAGCTCACGAAATATTTCCTTGCCAAAATTGTAGATGTTGAAAGAAGTAAAGACCAAAGTTCATTGTACTTACACTACTCTCCAGCAGCGTAGATAGCCAGAGTAAGTGGGCGATGCCGACACAGCCTAAAATCGTCCAAGCAGCCATTTCAGCGTGCCTAGGACAAGTCCAGAGCTTCCGTCCACGAACCGGTAGCTATCGTGCACCCCTCCGGATTTGTCAGCCGTCGGAGTGTCATCGACCAGTCTGGTCTACCACGGTCTAACTGGTGCTGAACATAGAAAATAACCCTGCCCTGCAGGCTGTAGCAAGTAGCCATTCGTTAGAAATAGAGATCTTCAATGTTCCATCGATACCCGTAAATGGCTCTTTGCCTTCGCCCGGGGCAAGTCCCTTTCTCTGCCGAGCATTTAGCTCTCTCTCAGCCACAGGTGCAGAGGAACGGTTTGTGCAAGAGCAACATCGATTGTTTTAGCTTTGGCCCCAGTTTGGGAGCTGCATGGTGATTGTCGCTCAGCAGCAGATCAGTGCCAGTGGTAGCCATGCCTTGCCTGTGTGCTATCGCTGAAACTGACCGCCGGGGCCTCACTTTCACGTCTACAATCATGTATTTTCTTTTATTCGTTCACGGCTTCAGACTGGAGTGTCTGTGCGCTATCCCGTATCCGCCGTGGGTAGACGAAAATGAGAATGATGATGTTCAGGCCCCACGTGGATTCTCGCCTGGGGCTGACTTGATCATGATTGTGGCCAAGTCTGCGATCGCCACTCACGTGCTCACTCCCGGGATCCCATCCAAACCCTTCTATGTAAACTGCCGCATGCCGGCCCTTGGTCGACGCATGGTCTACTGTCATGAGTCTGTCGCCCGATATCGATAGGCTACTGTACTAGCCTTTCACTGACTCAGCTGGGGCAGGGTATTATTATAGTAGTTACCAAGTAAGGACATGGCCCTGGGCATAGCATTGGCCTTTGTCGGATGACTCAGTCTCTGTGTTCCGTCAAAACCTTTCTGTTCCCACCTTCTTTGGCCCGGTAACTACTTAGGACCGTACAGCTGTGGTGCAAGTGCCAGTACATGCAGTGCCAGTAGATCTACATGCGAGCAGGTTGTTGTTGTTGTTGTTGTTGTTGTTGTTGTTGTTGATTTATATTTACTTCGCAAGGCCAAACGGGCAATGGTGCCCAATTCTAAGGAAGTGAATTTCAAAGGGGGAGAGAGTAGGTCTTGTTTGGGAAGCAGCCTGGCTGCAAGCAAGATGCACTTCCGTATTCTGTCGACCGTTGTTCTCCGAGTTCCACCCAATGCCGGTATGTCCTCTGGAGCTCATTTTCTTACCTACCGTTGGACCAAAAAACACACAACGTAACACACACACACACATACACACACACACACACACACACACACACACACACACACACACACACATGTACACTTACTGGTCACGTGGGTCTTCTGGGGAGAGGGCAGAGAGATTTCGAAAGCAGTTGGGTGGCATTGAATCGCCGACATACCAAAACTCTGGGTGGACTTAGAAGTTAGAAATGATCCCACTTGTGGGCTCACCACACCTCAGTAAGTGTGTGGGGACAAGATGGACGGCATTACAATTTTAAAAGGTGTCCGTCCTGGGATCCAACCGCATCATCAAGTTGACCCCTGTCCTCAGTGAAGATACATGCATGTGACTAGTGCAGTAGTAGTAGTGTGTCTGCAGGGATAAACCAGGGTGGATCTGATATGGGCTCCATTACTAGTACCATTAAGAGTACATAACTAACCACGGTTATGTACTCTTGATACCATTGCCGGATTACACAAGTGTTGATCTAACCAGAAGTACATGATTGTAGTCCATTGGCCAGCAGATACCTGTATGCACATTTCGAATAGGAGGTGACAAACTTATAATGGACCCTGAGACCAACCAACCCTTGTTGAAAGGTAGCAGGTACAACATTACACCTTCAAGCCGCATGACCTGATGGCAACCGACACAAACCGCTAGCTGGCTTAAGTCACATTATATAAAGTGCACCCACCAACATAACAAGCTGGCACACACACACACACACACACACACACACACACACACACACACACACACACAACACGCGCACACATGCACACACACGCGAACACACTGGAAAACATCTACTTCAGTAAGGCGTTGTCGTCCATCATCAATGCCGGCATTGATATCAAACTACACATCCACCACTACTTTGTCACTTCATTCCAAATTACGACAAGTTCACCAACAACAAACACAGTGCATTGTCTAACTAACGTTACGAGTCGTAGTGTCAAGCATTCTTCTAGTGGTTGATAACTAAAATTAATTTTAAAAAACCTGTCAGTTACAAAATCAAGTTGAAGTTTCTTCAATTCAAGTTGAGCTACAATGACAATGATAAGAGTCATGATCATTTTTACACAAGCTAGCAATACCGCAGAATGTGCTGTGGAACAGCGATAGACCAGAGCACGCTCCATTTGTCCACCGCGCCTTTCTTGCAGACTCGGCGTCGCAGATCCGAAAAGACGCGTTCCGTGAGAGCACTGCAGAGACGTATTTAGCAACGGCAGCTGCGTATACTCTACCTCAGTGCACGTACATGTACATGAGTGTACCTAGCAGAGTTCAGTCAAGGCAACACGGCAATCCACATGCTCCATCATCACAGTCAGAATAAGTTACAATGCAGTAAGAGTAAGAGTACCACTGAAACCTATATTCTAAGCTCTCTCACTATGGAGCATCCGGCACCTTCTTGTCTATATCTGTACTGGACACTACCGATGCCGGCGTGATGTGCATAGCAACACAGAAGGTGTCCGTTGATATAGCCACAATTCAACACCCACCCACATATACATATGAGACACACAAACACACACACACACAACAACAACAACAAAGTCACGGCTACGGTCACTGCACTACATTCTGATCGTCGGGACTCAATCGCCGATTGCCTCCGCCATTCTGCTCTGCCTGTATGCTGTGCTGGCGAAGCATCATCGACGGCATCTTAGCTGTTGACACCGACCGTTTCAGCTGACGAACCTTACTGTATTCTTTTTGATGACGCCAGAACGTAGATCCCGTCGCCAGTAGGACTCCGCTCACAAGGCCAACTGCCGCGCCGATGGGGCCGAGGAACGCACCGATCGCTGCCCCGCTGGTTGCCGCTATCGTTGTGCCCAGAACCTCCGCCTGGTGGCTCATGCTGATCCCGTAGCGGCACCAGTTGCTGAAGTGCTCACAGTTGAGAAAGAGCAGATGGTAGCCACGCTGCCCGATGTTGCTTAGCGCTCGCCTGACAATCTTATCGGCCGGGTACGGCTGGTATCGGTCGTCGTATTTATTCCACACTTGCACCGAGCTGGCACCACGCACCACCTTGCTGAACAACTCCTTCTTGACCACGGCATTCTCCGACGCACTGCTGGCAATGTTCTGCCATCGCACGGGACCGTCCCCAGTCATATGCACCACGTTCTCCCCATCCACCTTTACACCGTAATGCAGATACGTACCCCGAAAGAACTCCAGAATGTCGCCAGGCACACCCGGGAAATCCTCCCTGCTCCACTGTCTCGAGGTGCTCCCTTTTCCATCTGTCACCTCGCACACGCACAAGCCGCAGTCATCATTGGCGAATTGGATCTCCTCATAAGCCCATCTCGAGAGCATGGGCCCATCCTTTTCGTTCACCATGTCCACGTATTTATTTTCTAAAAGTATCGCTCTTACACCACTACTTTGGCACTAGTGACTAAAGACTAAAATCTCGTCCGCTCCCCAACCTTGCTTGCCGAGCTACATTACAGCCCATTGATTCGGAAACGGATAGGGACAATCCAGTGCGGAGAACAAAGCAGTTCTCGATCTAGAAAACGCCACCTTCGCTGTGATCCGCTGAACCAAACGTACAAGCTCCGCTCTTTTGATGTGGCAAACCCTGCTGGTCCTGCACTGGTAGTGGTAGGACTCAGATCAGCAGAACGAAGTCGAAGGTGAAATTTGAAACATTATTTTTTGACGTTTGCAGGGCCGATTTGTGCGCACGTGCGCCTCGTGAATGTTCGCAAACGCACAATGGCTATGTAGCTGTGCGGCGCGGCGGAGTGTGCCTGTGCCTGCTTGCGGCGGCGCATGTCCTGCCACACACACGCACACGTAGATCTACGCACAAGCGCACACGCGCAACGAACACCCTTGGGCCTAGCCCTTTTTTTTAAATCTAATGCTGGGCTTGTCCATTTCAGCGTTTGGGTATTTTGGCCCAATCTGGGTGCTGCTGTTATCATGGTTATGTACTTGTGTTGGCGCAGCGTCACTGACACTCACTCACTGAGCTCAGTGCACCGCGTACCTGCCGTGTACGTGTGAACCCTGGCATGGCATACTTATTATTATAATCATTTAATTGGGAACAGCTAGCTAGCGACGTATCTACCGTACCTGGACACTGATCGTGGTCAGAGGCCAGATCCACTGTGTGGATTCTGGCTACTAACTAGGCTACTACAGTAGTACTAGTAGAATCTACTACTACTAACCATGGCTGACTGATACTGATCATCACGGATCAAAATGCAGAGAGTCCGCACAGCCTGTCAACGTCACACTATGGTTGGTCTGGAAGTGCCCAGAGGAGGAGGCGTAGCTCCGGTCCTCCGACAACATGCCTATTGTCAGTAGAGCAGAATGAGATAGAACTGATGATGATTCAGGGAAGTCCCCAGTGCAGTGCAAACCCTACGACACGTAACGTTGACAGACTAGTGAAGAGAATGCTCCCCGCAGCAGGCAGAGCTACACGTACATGTACATGATACGCGCAAAAGTCAGTGCTGCAGGCCTTGTACAGCAAAATGGTGTGACCAGTCACACCATACCCGTCCCGGTGTGATGTCTGCACCTGAGCCTTGACAACATGATCCACGACCCGTCACAGCTCACTTGGCTGTGCATGTGATAGTCTGTCAAGTAATGTTACAATCCCGCCGTACTCGCAGACCACAAATCAAGCAAGGTGGCACGTTAGCTCAGTGTTGCTTCCCCGCTGCCAAGTAAGCCATGGAATACACTGAGTCTGTACACATTCGGACAAACCCAGACTGCGGAACGCGCCAGTACGTGCCACTGCCAGACAGCTCTGAACTACCAGCACTAGCACGGCAGCAGTCATCACCGTTGCAGTGTCCTGGCAGCCTCCTGGTGTCGGTGCTCAGTAGACTCTGTACGGGCAGCAGGACGAGAACGGACTACATGGACAATGGTACATGTAGCGGACATGCCTATACTGGTAGACTCTGACTGCCCCTGCAGAGGGGAAATCTCAGCTCATTACAAGTCTCTGAAGAACATATTGTACAGTCATGGTGCTGTCTCAGTGTCCGTACACACGCGTGCTATGCGTCCAAGACCTCCTTCTCAGCAGCACAACCTGCCCTCACATTGCGGCTTTGCAAAATGACGAGACAGGTGGTGTGACATGTACATGTACATGTACATGACTGTGGTCTGATCTGTAACAAAGGAATGCTGACATGTATACTACTACTGTACTACTGTACTAGGTCCGAACATGTCGATCTACAGCACGTGTATATCTATGCGTGTCCCTGCACCTGGACAAGAAGCAAGACTGGGCAAGAGTATACATAATATTATTATGTTGGTCTCCACCTGCGTGCAGTTTGTGTTCATACGAATTACAATCATTACGATTAGTTCTAATTACGATACATGTGAGTTGCCGCAGAGCTCCAGTGCAATACTTCATCACCACCACAGGTCCACAATGCACTCTGGACAGCTGGCCCATCTTGCAAACACCACCGCCATCGGCATCGTAGCAAGGACGATACCGACTACTGACAACTATTGTGACCCTCCACTCTAAGTGCTAGTCCAGCCAGCTTCTTCCGAGATAACGCACATGTTGATGGGCGAAAAAGAAGCCATGAATGCTGTTATGTACAATCACGTAGACTGGAATTGAGTTACGCCTTATACATGTTATATGTGCCATTGTGTACTCCATATAACCGGGAAAATGAGCGCCACCGTCCGGCCGACAACTGAGCTAGTACTAGTAGCGGCTCCATTCTCACTTCCCGGTGTCCTCCCAACGCTATGTACATGTACATGTAGCTGCAGCATAGTGATATGAGCTCATATCCGCACATCCGTACCTCGGCCACTAAGTATCTAATATTGACTGAGTACGAGGTCGATATAGGAAATAAAAGCCGAGTAAAAGACCGAGGCGAAGCCGAGGTCTTTTACGAGGTCTTTTATTTCCTATACTGACCAAGTACGAAGTCAATACACTAGATTTATCACGACTACCCAAAGCCTGTGTTCAATCGCTAAAAAGGAGTCAATATAAGCGGTCAATAGCCCATGGCGGATTATGCCGGCATAATATTTGGCATAATCTTGGGATTTCGTCAACAAAATATGCTCCGGCATAATATACGGATTCCAACGTGTAAGGACGGCATAATCTTTCGGTTTAGACAAAAAAATTATGCTTAGGGCATAATACAGCGCTGTCAGAAAGCCTGCAGATGTTTGTTTTTTAAATTAATACCCCAGTTACGACTCCTTGTCATAGGCTCATACTCATAGCCCTTGGCGGATTATGCCGGCATAATATTTGGCACAATCTTGGGATTTGTAAGAAAGGGTTTGCTCCCCACACCGGAGCTCGCGCTATTCCGCCGACTTTACTTGACACTTGACTGACTCACGACTGCCATCCAGAGCACACAACCACTACTTCGTACTGTTGTGCCCAGCGCGGGCTCGCGACTAGTTGGTTTGGAGGTGACAGCGTTGCGAATGACCGAGGGTCCTCAACGTCTGGTCTCACCGTCCAGGAGCGACACTGACTCACGCTGCTATCTGGTGTTCACGAGATGTTTGTCGCGCTGGAAATGGAGCGTCTCTGTAAGTTTGTATCCCTGGTGATGTTTGCGCCTGGAGAGCACTATATAAGTGGGTGCTCTTCAGGCACAATCTTCCTCAGCCTACTCAAGCTCAACTGATGAGGGGTGAATTCCCCGAAACACTGTGTATTGAGCAGGGAGTGGTGCTTTCTTGCAGGTTTGCCGAGTCGAAGGTTCGATGGACTTCTCGTGTGCTCTGGATGGCAGTCGTGAGTCAGTCAAGTGTCAAGTAAAGTCGGCGGAATAGCGCGAGCTCCGGTGTGGGGAGCAAACCCTTTCTTACAAATCATCGCCGAAGTCGCAACCACTACTTCGTAATCTTGGGATTTCGTCAAAAAATTATGCTCCGGCATAATATACGGATTCCAACGTGTAAGGTCGGCATAATCTTTCGGTTTAGACAAAAATTATGCTTAGGCCATGGCCGTGTGTGTATGCGTGGTTTCTCAATCCTCTATGTACAGCGTGAATACATAGTGGAACCGAGCATAATTCAGCATATTTGTTGGCATAATTGTGGCATAATCAAAAGCATAATTTGACGATTGGCCGAGCATAGTCCGCCAATGGCTAGCGGTCAATATAGCCCTAAGGAGTGAAATATGCAGGAATATTTGACTTCTTAGGTATGGTAAAAATCTATGGGAGTCTAAGGGAGTGATAAAAACTAATACTAATAGTGCACTGTGTGTGTGTGTACGGTCAAGCGTCAGGTAGCACCGGTGCTACAATATTCTGTATGAGATCGGGATATAACATTGTGTTAGTCATGTAGCACGAAAGTCCCCAGTAACTTTGGAGAGAGACTCATGCAATTGCATGGCCATGTGGTTGTACCATTGCCGGCCGTGTGTTCGTCTTATTGGTCGTAGCTAATAACTATTAGGTCTACGTCTACGTAGTCTATCTACCCGGCACCGAACACTACTACAAGTAGTACTCTGCGCAGCCTAATTGCCCTAAAGTAAAGATATACTGTAAATCCACTAATTTTCGCTGGCGATTTAATTTCGCTGATTTCGCCGCTGGGTACCAACCGGCCAAAGTAAACCGCAAGCCAAAATTTGTCATAGAGGCAAATGAGCCATGCCTGCATGTACATAATGTGAGGGCAACAAATACCAATCGATTTCTTTTTTGAAAACCCCAATCGGCCAAAGTTAAATGACGGCCAAAAGTTTCATTTCGAGATCGGCCAAAGTTTCTCACCGGCCAAAATTTGTTGATTTACAGTACTCGTACATAGATGTGCTACCAGCCCTGTATGGCAACTTCCCCACGTCTAACCCCCAACAAGCCCAAGACGAAGTGAATACTGTGATAGTCATACTGGCCGAAGAGCGAACTATGATCGTGTTTCCGAACGGTGCAGCAGCAGCTGCAGCAGTATGTTGACCCAGCCACTATTCCCATACCCCGATCCATCCCGGCGTGATGACCCGGACCCCCCGCGCTAGCAACAAATCACAAGACAAAACCCCTACCATGAAGTGCATAATGATGTACATGTATTATGATTGTATGGATTTCTCTCTAGCATAATGCAAGAGTACTTCGCTCTCTGTGATCATGTGCAGTCCACATGCACAAATTGCATAGAAATAAATAAATTACTTGGGGTGGGGTCATGCTTTTTCATGCACAGCATTTCCGCTTCCTAAACTTGGGCTGAAGAGTGAAGGCTGAATTTTTAAAAATGCCCGCGCGCTGCTCAAACGCATGATGCATGTAGATCTACATCATACATTACATGATCGTGAGTCGTTCCCTTTCCGCATCTGAATTTCCTCCCGCCGCCGCGGCTCCGAAAGAATCTGCCGCACGGACAGTCTCTCTGCCTCTGGAGATCCCCTCTCCTCGCCCTAACCGTTGTTGTAGATGTATTCCGCAGCCTTCATGTGTGTTCACCTCGTTTCGCCATGCGGATTAGCTCAGTCTCTCGGCCCAGATTATTCATTCCTGCACATGTGATCACCAGCGTCACTCATAACTGGTCTATCCCTGCCGTGCAGATCTGCTGACTATCACTGCGATACTACAAAAAGTCTACATGACAGTCAGCGCAGCTGGTTCGAAGGAAGAGGTTCAAACCAGGGAGTCGTGGCTTTCACGACTCTCTGGTTTGAACTACAAAAAGGGGGAACTGACTTCGGGAGAACAGTCACTTCCCGATTCACAGACGTGCAGACAGCTCACCCTGTAACTACAAAACACAATCACTACTAGTAGTAGTAGTATGACTTGTACTTGTTGACGTTGTGGTAATAGCACTACCAAGAGTACATAAACCTGTAGATCTACTCTTTGCACTCATTCGTAGTAGTAGATCTACCTCGAGCTCCTTTATTTTGCATTCGTAGTCGTAGAGAACGATGTCAACACCGACACCGTAGACTAGTGTTGAGTCGAGTGTAGCAAAAGTGCAGCTAGCTAGTGACACCAGCTCAGACACGTCGGAGAACCGCAACTCTGACATACTGCTGTATTCTGCGGTAGGTCTTCACCCCGTCGCGGCCGGTATCTCACAGAAGATCGATCGCAACAGTGGCCTATGCATAGATTGCCTTTAGTGGGAAGAGACTCAGGGCGTTCAGAGACTGAGTGTGCGGCTGTCGGAGCCCAAACAGGTCCTGCAAAACTTACTAGATGATCCGGTCTCCAGAATGGAGGCCGAGGCAAATCAAGATGCAATTCTCTGCGAAACTCACTCTAATGTGTTGCTGAATTTGCACACAATCTTCCAGACCAAGTCCTGCTCGAGGCGATCGCGACATCGGGCTCAGCGTTCCAGCAAGCGACCCAGCAGCAGCAGCAGTGCCAGGGGCGGTATACACCGAACCCAAACTCAAGATGAGAGGGAACCGCAGCAGCAGCAACAGCAGCAGATTAGTGAAGGCCACCACGAAGAGACCCTACATCATGTATGACGTGATTGTGCAGATTGCGGCGTCCAGCCGCGACGCATTGACACGAGGAAACAGCACGGCAGAACGAAGGCCCGCTATCATGTCGGCTCGGGCTGTACCGCAATTGTGAGTGCATATGTTTCGTATACTAGTACTAGTGCCTTGGTGGGTAGAGTTCTCCAACAAATGTATGATTGTACAATTGTACACGTAGTGCCATTCGCATAGAGAAGTGACTTATTGAGCAAAGCGTGGTTGCCGTGGTACTCCGAGTTTCACCCGTTAGCGGGCACCAGCCATCAGGCAGCACTACAGCATAGCAATAATTATCCTAAAAATGTGATTGATAAAAAGGCAGCAGCAAGCGTGGTTGACATAGGTAAATGACATTATGGTTTGAAACACTGAGTACTGAATACGCACCTGTCCTTGGTCTGGTGAATCTTGCGCATGGGCACGTGCTTTGGGCCTGTACTTACATGTGTAAAACATGACCGGCTATTTGACATGTACATGTACATGTCAAATACATGCATGCCTCCATGATTAACAGTCTGGGGGGGGGGGGGGGGCTTCATTGGAGTCACGCACAAGACTCAAGAGTGCACCACACGTGCATGCTCACGTACACCCGCACTGTGACCGGATGTACATACACGCATGCACAAACACGCATGCACAGACATGTGTGCACCACGCACACATGCACGCTATGCACGGACGCACAAACACGCATACCCGCCTGCTATGCTAACATTCGTGGAGAAGTCATGACTTTCCTGGCTGCTCGGCTGCAGGTGCTCCATGGACTCAGTGGCGTTGGCAAGACATCTCTGGCAAGGAATTATGTGCAGCAGGCGCAGTCGGCTGGACACTTTCAAGGTGGCATTGTGAGGCTGAACGCTTGTGACAGCCTCACACTTGACACCAGTATTAGACAAGCAATGGTAAGGGCCAGTAACATGCGGCGAACTGTTGGACTCCCGGCTGAACAATGCTGTTGAACTCATCAGTGCAGTGTGGGCAGTCGGGATGTATTTTTTTTCTCAGACTGAATGGGCACTCACTTTGGTCAGACTGCATTCTGATCAAAGTGAACACATAAGAAAAAGAGAGAGGGAGATGGTGTGTGTCTGTGGGGGGGGGGGGGGGTCCGATTGGAATCTGTCGAAACTCAAAGTTTCATGGCGAGGCATTCCGTTGAATATGTAGCGTCACATCATATTCTTTAGAAGCTTATCTCTGGCACACTTTTCATCATTTACATGCATTATCCCAGTTCTGCACGCTTACAATCATATGCTCAAGCGCAGGGCTGTGCCCCAGGCTATGTTTTTATCTCTTTTTTTGCTCACCTATTGCTCATCACTTCTTTTACAGATTTGGTATTATGGATTGGAAAGTTTGGAAACTCCCTCGATAGGCGAAAGCCTTTGGGGAATCCTTTAAAAAAAAAACAATACAAATTACAAAGTTACAAATTCACGTACTAGTAACACATTTGTTGCCGCTACTAAAACTAACACATGCACATACCACATTACATGTTGTACCATTCAACTCTGGAATTTGTACTTTGCATGCAAACAAGCCCCAAACTGCACATGCTACAAGTAAAACGATTTAAAAAAGTTAAAAGTAAAACGATCTGAGATAAATTACTTGCAGGATAACGCACAATAATCATATCGGTAGCACAAAAGAACAAGTTGCTTTTTCTAACATGGCTTGTTTGCTATGATCGTTTCAGCTATGGGCATGTGTGTGTGTGTGTGTGTGTGTGTGTGTGTATGTGCGTGTGTATGTGTGTGTGTATGTATGTGTGTGTGCATGTGTGTGTGTGTGTGTGTGTGTGTGTGTGTGTGTGTGTGTGTGTGTGTGTGTGTGTTGGTGTGCTCTTGATGCGGCGCATTCTCCGGTGCAGCACAGCCTAGGCGTCCCTTTAGTCAATGTGAAGGACCGGCACATCCAGCAGCTCATGGCTGTGCTCCGAGCACGGCAACAGCAGTGTGTGGTGATAGTTGACAATGCAGACGGCGAAGAAGTCCTTCAGCAAGGTAAATGTGTACACCCACATCTCTCTCTCTCTCTCTCTCTCTCTCTCTCTCTCTCTCTCTCTCTCTCTCTCTCTCTCTCTCTCTCTCTCTCTCTCTCTCTCTTATCTGCGCTGTCCAGGACCGGGCACGCTCAGAACTTGAAAATTGTCTATAACTCTGTATCACATACATTCCCATGGAAAAGGGGTTGAGTAGTAAGATTTCCACTCAAACTCACGCACAAGGTGACCGGTAGACCGAGAATGCCTGTAGCTTCGAGGTCCGGATAAGAAAGACATGAGTCTAAAGTATTGATGGATTTGTTGCATCTCCCGAATGCGATGGAGCGTGAACAATGCTATGCATTCCACAGAAACGGCAGATAGAGTACCAGTACCTACCTGAGAGGAGGATAGGTTTCTCTGAGCACTAGTAAAAGAAAAGGTGAGAAATAACATCGTATCTTAGAAGTCAACTGGTAAATACAAATGAAAAAGCTCAGTTTAATTGTATCAATGTTGTTGTTCTTGTCCTTATGTTTGGCTTTGCAGAGGGGCGGTATGAGATGTTTTGGCGAGCACTGTTATGTCAACAGTCGGCCTGCATCAACGTACTGATCCTGACCTGCTGCTCGCTATTGCCGGTGGACTTGTCGCGTCGGTTGACGGCTGTGTGTGAAGTGCTACCTATGACCAGGCTGGCGTCGGCCTGGGCAATTGGCCGTGCCACTGGTCGCCTCTGTGCTCACACAGCACTGCCGCGTACCTGCTACGAGCTCAGTGCGGCACTGGCAAGGAGGCCGAGCTGTACGCGTTGCCCAGTCCGTTGTCAGAGCAGCGGGCACTCGGCCAAAAGTGGCGAAAGTGGCCGGCCTGCGGCTGAACGTCTCAACCTGTGCGAAAACTTGCCGCCAGCCGACTGTGCAGTTGGTGATCAAACATGCAGGTCCCATGTTTCATCTGAAGCTACTCAGCTACTTCAGCTGGCCTCATCGCCGCTCATTGGTGGCCTGCCTCTGGCTGTTTTCATGGTTTCTTCCGCCCTGCATCATCAATACGACGAGGCACCAAGCCCAGGAATGGGAACAAGAACAGATCAGGATCATGAGTCCCCAGGCAACGGTACTGCAGAAGCATGGCTTCGTGGTATTGCATTCCAGGATGCTGGCAGCGGCATCTCCAGATCAGCTGATGCTGTGAACATGGTGGAGTTGACATGTCAGCAGAGTGTCCGTTTGTTGAGCCGCCCGGCACAGCAGCTGTTGTATATTTGCTCATTCCTTCAGCCCGACTACATACCCATGCCACTTCTAACACAGGCGTGTGGCCGAGGTATCCTCCCGACTGAGCTTGACTCATTCCTGATGCCCGGCGAGCTGCGTGTTGACTTGAGCACGGAGAGGTCTGCCTCCTTTGTCTCGCAGCAGATGCTCAAGCTGCTCTGCGAGCTGCGCACAACATCTCTGATAACATGGACATGTCGTTCTGAAGATGGCGGCTTCTTGCAGTCGAGACCTGCAGCAAGCAACTATCACATGCAGCAGCAGCAAACGTTTTCCATGCACCGTATCACCAAGAGCGCGGTACTCAAGACCCTGCGCGCGGACAGGAATCAACTCAACCAGTACCTGAGTTGCACGATTGAAATGCTTTTGCTGAGCATGATGTTGTCGCCGAATACCCACTACAACATGCACTATATTGTGCCGCATACACTGCAGCTGTGCTATCACCGCGATATGCTCATCCAGGCCGAACACCTCAGTCAAACTCTGAAGTCCTCGCCATCTGCATGCAGGGAGGACTCCTCAGAAGCTGCACCGGACACTATCTTGCGTCACCTATGCCTTATCTACAAGGCCATCAACGACAACCAAGCTAGTATTCGGCCAGAATCCCTACACAAGCTAGTTGACACTGCGGCTTTCCTGTTGCAGCATCTTCCAAACCAATATGGCTGGGCGCGTGGCGTTTTCTCACCGGCAATTGCGAACGAGATCCAGATCCAGACTTGTGATGAGTTTCTTCCTGGTGTGAAGCTATTGCTCCAGTACCTGGACAGTGCCAGTGCGGAGTGTGGCAAGGGTGTTCTCTATGTTCTAGTGACCGGTCTGGTTATCTACAGTACAAGCACTTACCACACACACTATGCTGACACAATACCTCGCTACTCTGGTCTCCTTCGTCATCTCGTGAACTGCATCCAGATTCCATTCTCCCGCTCCGGAGATGTGAGGGCTAGTGCCATCCTGGCGGTGCAGTGGTTTGAGAATGCCATCTTTTATGTGCTCACAACAATGGCTCTGTCTCTTGCCATCCCTCTGCCAGGTTACGCCAAAGGAATGTTTGAACACTCAGATTTCCCCCGTCGACTGAGTCGCCAATGCCACCATGTTTTCCGTTGCTATGTACACCTGCTGGCCAAGCCGCATAGCCTGGATCGGCAACACAATGTCCTTATCGATGTCGACAGATGGTCTTGGGACTGGAGTGTCCGCAGCCAGCCAGCGTCAAGATCACCAAAAACACACAGGGGAAGCTGTGGGCTTGATTATGCCTTGCTATCGAGCACGTATGAGGTTCAGAAAGTTTACGGAGACGGTCTGTCCATAATGGCACTCCTGGTTCCCCTTGTGCTTGTTTTTCTGCTCTTTGTCGCCTATGGTGAGCAGCGGAAGGCGGACATATGCATGCAGCGCATCTATTCGCTGGTGGCAGCTCGTCTTGACACGCAGCACATGGCGCTGGCCGACATGCTGAATGCTGTCGCAACTCAAGTTTACGCTGGCTGGCCTCCGAAGCAGGGAGCGATGCTGAAAGAGATTAGCACCCTCGACTGACAGAGCAAGGAAGAAGCAGTACGCCCCAAGCCGACAGTAAAAAAAGACAATACATTAACTTTGCACTGTTTGTGTTCCTGCCTCAGTCCCGGGCCACAAAATGGCCAGGGTTCCGCACATTTCTCGCTGGCTGCCACACAACAACTAGAAGATACAGGTGACGTTCTCATACCAACCATGTCACAAGCTGTACGAAGATTTTTTTGCTGCTGTAAGTCTGTAATTCAAATGTTTGCGCTAATATTTCTCTTGCAACGTGTGAGTTCTTCAGCTGCATGTTGTGATGTAAGCATGCCGCTCTGCTAGTGTGACAAGATCTTAGAAAGAGTGTGCATTCCAGGCATGTATCATTAATTTTCATCAGTGCACTGACGACTAGTCGACTGTACTTCGAGTTCGTCCATAACGTTATAATGGGCACTTTTCCAAGCAGTTGGCTTCCATAAAAGGAAGTGTGTCGTAATCGTATGCTAGTATCCTGTACATGTATGTCATACATGCAATATCTTTATTTCTCGCCCCAAGCCCCGAAGCCGACCTTGAACTTGATTCAGGGAAAGAGCATGCAAACAGGCGTGCGTGCGTATGTGTGTGTGTGTCTGTGTGTGTGTGTGTGTGTGTGTGTGTGTGTGTGTGCGCGCGCCAGCTAGTTCAGTTGGTGGGTACACTTATGCCAGATGGCGTTGGGTCTGTTGCTAACGGGCTCGGCTGCTTGAAGGTGTATATTGTACCTGCCACCTTTGTTGGTTTCAGGGTACATGCACCTGTTAACCGTGGCATGGACTACTTCTGGCTAGATTAACTCTTGTGTAATCAATGGTGCTAGTGAAGCTTATTATCATATCCACTCTGATTTAGCCACCCGCACTAGTAGCAAGTATTACCTTCACTGGGGGTAGGGTTAAATGCAGTTGGATCCTTGAACGGATACCCTGATGCCGTCCACCCTTCAAGGATCAAGGCGCAGATGCAGCTCCCAAAGCGGTGGGAGGTGAGTAGATCAGCCAGAAAAAGTCACTTCAAATAGCTGTGTGGTGTAGACCAGGCTATGGTGTAGACAGCTAGCCTTGCAAGCTGTTGAATGGTGCAGTCCTAGCACAAGTTGCTATGGCTTCTGGTGTAGCATCGCTATCATCGCCTCCGGCGATGGGTGTCAAAAGGTCAAAGGTCAATGGTGTGCTTGTGTGTGTGTGTGTGTGTGTGTGTGTGTGTGTGTGTGTGTGTGTGTGTGTGTGTGTGTGTCCTTGTCCTCACCCACTTACTGAGGTGTGGTGAGCCCATAAGTGGGATCATTTCAAGTCCACCCTAGTTTGGGGATTTCAGGGGGTGTCGGCCGTTGGGTGGTTCAATGGCCAATTGAGTCATCTTTCCAAGATTCCTTTTGAGTCTCTCTCCCCTCTCCCGGGGAGACCCACGTGACCAGTTTTGGCAGTGAGCAAGTACAAGTAAGTGTGTGTGTGTGTGTGTGTGTGTGTGTGTGTGTGTGTGTGTGTGTGTGTGTGTGTGTGTGTGTGTAGGTGAGTTTGGAGGATGTCAGGGGTTAAAGGGGAAGTATACCCTAAAATCAAATTTTCAGCAGTTGTAGTCTTCTGGGTGCTGAGTCGAATGGTCTTGGTCCGAGGATGCTGCGACGCTCCCTTCCTTCTTTTTTCCCAATCGAACCCGCGCACTTCCACCGAAACTGGGTGACTGCGCCCTACTAGATGGGGATTTGTATGCAAAATCTCACTAAAAGTGCTATGTTGTTCTTATAAAAGCACGGATGACCGCGATTGGCCCATATGTTGTAGTCTTTTGGACGCTGAGTCGACTGGTTTTGGTCCGAAAAGGCTGCGATGCAGCGTTCCTCCTTTATTCCCAATCGAACATGGTTGAACAAGCGGTCACGTGCTCCTGGGTGCCCAAATCACCTGGTCACCGCGCCAGCAGGCGACAACTTTCACACCAAGGTTCAACTCGAGGTCAACTCAAGTGACAGGACTGCACCCAAAAAAGGTCAAACAGGCTAGTAAGTTATGTTGTAGTTGTACCCTGCAGGCACGGTGACCAGGTGACTGGTGTACGCAGGAGCACGTGACCGCTTGTTCAACCATGTTCGATTGGGAATAAAGGAGGAACGCTGCATCGCAGCCTTTTCGGACCAAAACCAGTCGACTCAGCGTCCAAAAGACTACAACATATGGGCCAATCGCGGTCATCCGTGCTTTTATAAGAACGAAATGGCGCTTTTAGTGACATTTTGCCGCACAATTCAGTGTACAATCATCTGTTGGCTAGTCCTGATTGTTGCAATTCGTATTCCGACTCTTCATTCACTGTATTGTGCCGTGGTCGTCATGGTTATGGACTACAGTTGAAAGTTTTGGAAGCCATCTGTCAGCGTCTGTATAAGCCTAATTTGTGTATACAGAAAGATAGTATAATTGGGTTGAAATTGTTCAAGTAAAGTGTCATGTTTGGTGCGGCCAAGCTTGGCCGTTAATGTTCTAGGTGTAATGTACTGCTGTTATTTGTTATCACTTTGTCCTTCCTTCTTTCTTTCTCTTCTTTGTTCATTTTCAGTTGCAAGTTTAGTGTTAGTACACACATTCGTTATTGCTCTCGCTGTCATTGTTAAAATTCACACTTGTAAATTTCACTGCTGTTGTTCTTAGTGTTATTTCTCTAACTTAGATTTTCTATAATAGTTCAATTTTGTTTTCAGTGTCCTTTAGTACAACGACGATTCCTGATGAGTGTTGTACGAAAACTTGTTTGAATCCCTTTTTTTCTCTCCACAATTTCTTCACATTTTCATCGTTTTATTGCACATTGTCTCCACAGTTTTACATTACATGAATACAGTGTACACAAATGTCGATCCAGCTTGTATTACTGATTGCGGTTATCAAATTGTTGTCTCCTCGCCGTTTGTTCAAGTACTATGAAGAGTAATATATTCGAAACAGCTGCATGAAGGATTTCGGTACCGACGGATGTGTCACTTTGCTGGTGGTGTTCTATGGCAAAGTGTCAAGGTCGGCTGGAGAGTGCAGATAATGGTGTGGTGATCGATGAACAATCTGTACAAAGGTGGGCCGATTTGCAGGCTTCTTCTCGACGTGTTGAGCACTCTTTGTTCAGTGGGGTGCAAGAGCAAGACCTTGGAAGGACTCCATAAAGTGGTTCCGAAGGCTTTTATTGAAACGTATCTACTAGCAGCTACCTACCTATCTACCTATCTAGGAAAAACTGAATCAAAGTATACACAGGAGAGGATAAAGGGGAGAGACGCGTGCTAAGACTTCGCAAGGAGCCTGTTTTATGTTGACCTACCTACCTAACTACCTACGGAAAAGTGAATCAAAATATACGAAGGAGAATATAGAATAGGGAAGGCGCTCCCCAGGTAGTGGTTAGTAACAGTATGCATGTCAGTACATGCTGAAAGACAACAACAGCAAGACATGTTTGCATGTGAAGTGCAGGCAAGAGCTTTTAAAGTCATCAGCAGAGGGAAAAGAGTGACACTCAGAAACTGGAAAGCAACAAGATGATCTTGGATGCGATGATCAATGAGATGACTTGCCCGCACATGAAGACATGCAACATGTGTGCATATGAACTGATCCTGATATGTAGATGTTTGAGTAGCTATGTTCATGATACATAACATTACAATATTATAATATGATACGAACTATGCTCGGAACACACATGCACACACACACACACGTATGCAAGCACACACGCACACACCTCTCACACTCCACACATGCGCTTCGCACATATAATCACGCTCCACACTAGCCATCAATGCAATATGTGCTCACATGTACATGATTATGTACGAGGGGCGCCAGGAAATCCACGAGCGTTTTGGCTGAGGGTCGTTCGGCAGGCTTGGGCGATGTGCACCAGTTCCAAACTTTGACCATTGTGCTGGCATCCTGTAAGCACCAGCAAATGCCAAAAAAAGTGGACTGAGGGCTCGACATTCAGCTGTTTCCATGGAAACACAAACTGCACATTTTATGCCTTTCTGTGTGGACTTGAACACTTCTCTCAGCCAAATGGCTTATTTTGCTCGATCACGGTTATCTTGGCCCTACAAACAGTGCTTCAGTGGTTTTTCCTACCGTACATTCAGTGTGGCTTCTCTGGATGTAAGTCTTTCAGTCAACATGTGTCTGGAAGCAGGTCAGATAAGCCTGTCAGCATATCTGCAACTGCCTGGGAAACCCAACCTTATTTGTATTCGGGCAGTGAGCTAATAGTAATTGTATTAGACTAGGGTGGAGAGCCAAAAAGAGAGGACCATAGCGTCAGGCGAAATAGCACGTCATAGTACATTCGAGATCAGCGGGAAGAAGATGACGACGTCCACTAATTTAGTATCTGTGCACACGAATCTGCTGTGTGTGTTACTCTGTGTGTCAGCTATGGCATCATCGCCTGTGGTTCCATACCTAGCATGTACGTCTGAACCATCCTGCAAAGTTTGAATGACGTAGGTTGAGCGATCGCTCCGCGAAACATACTTTTTGAAATTCTCTTCATAGTATATCTTCCACCATTGAAATTTCGAATTTCTTCAAAAAAAAGTGTTGAGAGGGGTGGCTTGCAACCTCGATATGGCTTGTTCCAGGCATGCTTTGGAGCCATCGCCTGTTGAAACAGTGGCGGGAAGCTGCCCTGCAACTGTTCCAACAGGAAATTAATCGATCCAAGAAAGCGCGAGTCCGCGAATCTCGGTTGAATATTGAGTATTTCAAGCCTTTTCACGACGAAGATGGAGTTCTTTTTGGAGATGGACGTCGCGGCAAAGGACATGGTGTCCGACTTCTGGCGTCTGGTTAAGCCAGGGATCATTTGTCCAGTCAGGTCGGCAGCCTAACCGTCGGTAAGCTTGTGTTTGGATCCCGTTCTGCTCGATGTGGTAGATCACAAACAATTTGATATCGCACAAATTGATCTCAGCATCGTGCGTACGGTATTTTATATTCAGAAAATCCCAAAGTGTCTCTGTGTGGCCGTCCTATGCCACGAGAAACTCCAATCAGGCTCCTATGTCCTCTGCCTTCATGATTGAATGCCCACTTCGTTTGAACAACGAACACAACAATCGAGGACGGCTTTGCAATGAAAAATACAGCTATACTGGAGCTGAAAAAAAAGAAAGAAAAAAGAAAAAACGTGCTCAGGATGAGACTCGAGTACACGCATACTCTCCCAGCAGGAGAAACGCAATGTCGTCTCGGAAGGTTGAGAACGAACTGCCTCTTCTATCCTCGCCACGCCACACCTCAAAACGAACTAGTCAGTGGTGTTTCTCTAGAGCTAGAGAGAGAGAGTTTTCATAGTTTACTTCAAGCGGCGACGGAAGAACTCATAATGGAGAACTAACACTGACAACGAATGTCTAACAACTGACGACGAACGTCGGACAACTGACTCTGACAACGAACGTCTGACAACTGACGACGACCGTCGGACAACTGACGACGACATGGCAAAAGGAAAACATGATATCAGAAATTGGTGCCCTCGTCAGCACAAAAGGTGGTGTACTCAGCACAAAAAGGTGCGCGTGTCAACAACAAAGCAGCGCAGCAGCATGTACGGGTCAGCAACAAAGCAGCGCAGCAGCATGTACGGGTCAGCAGCACAGAGACACAAATACAGCAGCAGCTACGACGAAGAGACAACACGTGCAGCCACATGTACACACAGAGACACAAATACAGCAGCAGCTACGGCGAAGAGATAACACGTGCAGGCGCAGGTACAACACTATCCCCTACCAAAAAAAGACATCCACTCCTGTGGATGGAAGCAAAAGTGAAGTGTATAAAAAACGGAAGGAGACAGACCGGAGAAGAAGACAGAAAGACAGGGGAAATGAAATATGAAGCAACATAAACAGGCGACAATAAAACAGAAAAGAGGTGGGCCACAACTGTTGAACGCATGACGAGTAGGCCAGGAGGGTTAACACCAGTCGGGAGCCCCGCAAAACTGTGCACCAATCAACGGAACCTGCAAGCAACAGATTTTGCAGAGGACCCCGGCTGGCGAGCTGTTCGACCTGTGTTTGTCCCTTTGGATCTTTTATTCTTAGAACAGCACCAACCTAGTACGCCACCCATCCACCAGTCCTGACAAAACAAAAGTACAAATGCATGAGAAAACAGGTTATGCCGACGGACCCAGCGACGCTTCCAGGAGCGGCGAGACCGACAGCACGCACCGACCGAGAAGAAGACTGGGGCAGCTAGACGCACACTGGCCGGCTGTCAGAAAACCGATGGCGCTACAGAAACTCCGAGAATCACAGGACACACACAGAAAGAGAGAAGGACTGACGCAAACATCTCAGCCATCACCAAAAATCAGAAAAGCACACGAAGGAAGGGAAGAACAGCCAGGAAGAACACGTCGATTGAAACAGGAGCAATTAATCAGTGAGGACACCATTGAGGACACACAAACAAATCGGTTACCAATACGCAAAAGATAATGAAGAAAAACCACAGGGCGCTACCCTGAAAAAACCCACAGGGATCGAACCTGAAAAAACCGCAGGGATTGAACCTGAAAAAACCGCAGGGATTGAACCTGAAAAAACCGCAGGGATTGAACCTGAAAAAACCACAGGGATTGAACCTGAAAAAACCACAGGGATTGAACCTGAAAACCCACAGGGATCGAACCTGAATAACACGGAACTTATAGTACATCCGCTCGCAAAACCAAAAAACTGAAGAAAAGAAACTGTCAGGGACCGATTGGGACGCACAAGGGCCAACCAGCAACACCCGGAAACCATAACACCCGCAAGGCAAACCAATACAAAAAAGCGCAGGATCCCTGCAGACCACCAAGCAGACCGTGGCTCACCATGATCAGACGCCCACCCAGGCGAACTAGAGAAACCCACATGCCGAAACACAATTATTACAAAACCATACGCTCACAAAAAAAATTCAACCTGGATCAAGAACGAGAATCCTACATGAAGTTCACACCTCCCACCAAACCGGAAGCCAACAGCTTTCCTACTTTGTTGACAGTACATGACCGAGCCTGACAACGCTCTACACCATGTACACAGAACATGGAGACACTACTACTAAAACGGTAAAAACACGAAACAAAACAATATGGATCGACTACATACGAGGCAGCACCTCGAGAACGTTCAGGTGGACATCTAAACAAATCACGCGACACAGTCACACTATCGGAGCAGTCCGACGGCAACTCCGTGACAAGCACAAGTGCACAACACAAGACGAGATCAAAGCTACCCATGCTGAATGCACGACGAACATGCGAACACAAGTTCCAGATTCGAACGAGTAGCGCACGAACAGAAATTTGAAATTTTCATACACAACAGTACAGTACAGGGTAGTCAGAGCGACACAACTAACACAACGGGGCGAACTTCCAACGAGCAGCAAGACTACACTACGAGTACACACTCGAACACAAGAGAACAAGGTTCCACGGAATTCCTGCTGGGACCCGAGTCACCCGACGCAAAACAATTATTTGAAAATTCGAAATCGAATACAAGGTACGGCAACACATTACGCAGAGCAGACAATTACAAAGGCATGCTCACCTGAGTAGGAGCTCCGAGGATCTAGGAAAGGGTTGAACAGTCAGACGCAGCAAAGCGGAGCCATGGCGAGAACGCGAAGAGGAAAACGAAAAACACCGGCCGGAGAGCGACGAGCTTCAGGGTCGTGGGTTCGATTAGTTGGGCGCCAAATGTCGTCTCGGAAGGTTGAGAACGAACTGCCTCTTCTATCCTCGCCACGCCACACCTCAAAACGAACTAGTCAGTGGTTTTTCTCTAGAGCTAGAGAGAGAGTTTTCATAGTTTACTTCAAGCGGCGACGGAAGAACTCATAATGGAGAACTAACACTGACAACGAATGTCTAACAACTGACGACGAACGTCGGACAACTGACTCTGACAACGAACATCTGACAACTGACGACGACCGTCGGACAACTGACGACGACATGGCAAAAGGAAAACATGATATCAGAAATTGGTGCCCTCGTCAGCACAAAAGGTGGTGTACTCAGCACAAAAAGGTGCGCGTGTCAACAACAAAGCAGCGCAGCAGCATGTATGGGTCAGCAACAAAGCAGCGCAGCAGCATGTACGGGTCAGCAGCACAGAGACACAAATACAGCAGCAGCTACGACGAAGAGACAACACGTGCAGCCACATGTACACACAGAGACACAAATACAGCAGCAGCTACGGCGAAGAGATAACACGTGCAGGCGCAGGTACAACAGCAATATTTTGTGAAAAATGCGTGTCGCCGACTGACCAGTAATTTCGCCTGACGGGTTTACAAGTATGATGTTGCATGATTGGGTTGGAAAGGTGAGGGTTGGTGGAGGTGGGGTGGGTCACGGTGGTGTTCGATATCGCAGGTGAAGGTCACCTGCCATACATGTATTGAAGAAAAAAAGCATGTGTACAATTCACGACAGTGCTCTGAATTGCGTACCTGATGATCTGCCCACCACAACTCGCTCTCGTTCTGGTAGCCTGTGTCCATGAGCTGGTGCAATGTCTCGCGGACAATCCTTCGCTTGTCCTGTCGTTCAAGGAACGAGCAGCCTTTCAAGTCAAGCTTGTCCAGGTAAGGCATCTTCATGTGGCCGCTCTCACCTAATTCACCTGCCAGAATTGAAGGAGGTCAACAGAGGAAAGCACATAATATGGGACAGCAATGTTCAAGGCTTGCGCATAATGGGCTCAAGGATTGCTCCAAACTGCTTTTGAGCATTTCTCCACTTTCTACCGATTGTTCCTGTCGAGCCGCGTAACCACAAGGAATTGAACAAATGCGCTGATTATTCCAGGGAAATTACCGCGCCTAGGCCCGTATGGCACGAAACACCAATCATTTGCGATGTTATGCCAGCACATGTTGCGACACACCGACCATTGCCAATATTGTGGCAGCGCAGTGCGCAGAAACCAACTCACCTCTCAGTAAACTGCGATCACACGACGTCAGTATGACCCAAACACACAGGCCGGCTGCAAAGATGTCGGCACATTGAAGCTCACTGCAGGAGAACTTGCGCAAGGAATCCGCCGTCACCAGCTCCGGAGACAGAAAAGAGATTGTCCCGCAATCATTGGTCCCTTCCTGCACGAGAATAACAAACAATAGAATGTCAATTATCCGAACGTCAACAATCCGAGCAATCGATTGTCCGAAAAGCCTATATGAACTGAACTGAACGGACAAAATGAGTTTTGCAAATTTTCTCCTCTCGCAGCACCATTCATACGGAACATAGAATGCATGGCAACAGGCTGCCATCAGAACGAATCCCTGTGGGTGTCACGTGGAGGAGCTAGCGTGTGTCTATCTCCTGTGGAACTGTCGAAGAGAATAAGAAAAATGATGCACACATGAGGGGATGTGCAAGTTTTAGATGGATGTGTGGCCGCTCCCTTGTCCAAACATACGAACTTCTCATATGAACAGCCGGCATCCAGAGTGGTGTCGACAATTGGCACTGTACTGTAGTGACATTGTTGGGTCATGCGCCGTTGTATAGTGTTAATACACATCTTAGCATCCCCCCACCTCACAAGAGAGCGACCGAGTTTTGCAGCTGGGAGTGCTGATTCGAGCAACTGGTATGATGGCTCTGCTAGGAGCCGCTAGATGGCTCGCAGCTGAGCCAGCAAATGACTCCGCTTGGAGCAGGCGAATGACTCCGCTTGGAGCAGGCGAATAACTCCGCATGGAGCCGCCGAATAACTCCGCATGGAGCCGCCAATGACTCCGTATGGAGCCGCCGAATGACTCCGCATGGAGCCGCCGAATGACTCCGCATGGAGCCGCCGAATGACTCCGCATGGAGCCGCCGAATGACTCCGCATGGAGCCGCCAATGCCTCCGCATGGAGCCGCCAATGACTCTGAGTAGAGCCGCCGAATGACTCCGCATGGAGCCGCCAATGCCTCCGCATGGAGCCGCCAATGACTCTGAGTAGAGCCGCCAAATGCTAAATATATAGAGATGCATAACCAGTTGAGAGCATATATTCTCATGGACTATACAGATACCGTCATGTGTGCACCAGAAACATGAGTTGAGCTAGTGGGTGGCAGGGTGGGAAGGAAATTGTTTGGGAACACATGTTCCGCAAGTTGCACGCTCGAAAGTCCAAACAGCAATGACATGCAAGAGACATTGTACAGGATTTTGAAGGGCGCGTGCCCACGTGACTCGCGCATGCGTGCAGGTTGGGCCAGCTCGCTGGGCTGGCTGCTAACTTGCGTTAGCATGCTAACGCTCATATAAAGATCCTGCATTGTGTGCAGAGTGAAGGACCCCCACTAAATCTCCACTCTTTCACCAGTGCTTGTTCACATGCACGCACACATATAGTCTGATGTAAACCGTTTACTAGCGCAAGCCACTCACCGAGCCATCCATCACGGATAAGTCAAAGTCGAAAATTTTGACGGATTCATGATTGACCATTCCAATGTTGTCTGGCTTTATATCATGATGGGCCAAGCCCACAATATCATGAAGGTATGACAGTGCACTGCAAAAAGGTAAAAAGACAATTTGAAATACATGAATGCACTACAGTACTGTTGATCGCCGAAGAACTGGGGGGGGGGGGGGGGGGGACGGGGGGAAACAGCCTTGTAGCCTCATTTTCATGTATGACAGCCTGTGCACAGTTGAATCACCGTGTACATGTATACATTGGTATGCTGTGCTTGGTGAAATTCTAGCCTGGTCGTTCTTCGGCGCTACCCGACACTGCTCTAGCTTGTCTTAGAGGGGTCGTCGCAGAAGTTTGTGTTGTCGTCCCTGAAGTGAACATCATTCATTTCGTACTTTGGCCAATAGCAAAGGACCATCATCCTGGCAAGGACAGGTGACAGTTAAAATCGTTTTTCAGACTGATCCCTTACACCCGACCCCCAAACCATTGAGTGACACCGTAATTATTGTGTTAATTCATATTTACCTGAAGATGGATTCTGTGATGTGCAGCGCAGAGGTGGTGCTTACGCCTTTCGACAGATAATCGCACAGTTTCCAGGGAATGAATTCCATCAATATGGCCCTACATGGCAAGCGCATGTTGAGCTGCTGCCCAAAGGCAGTGTCACGCTCAACAGTGAGCGATGCAATGTATCGCGGACAAAAGTGGATTGATGGGCCGGCATGATCCTGAATTCTCTGCAGCACAGCATGAACAGTTGTGCAGCATAGCAGTTCACATCCAATCAATGTACAATGTTTTTATTTCTATCTATTTATTCACAGTCACGTGGCACTAGCCAATGAAAAGGTGATGTGGGCGATATCCAGCCAATGACGAGAATAGAGGGGAGAAAGGAGAAAATGCTTCTTTTGTCGCAACGTCTACATGCACTTACGTAACTGAACAGCAACATCAAGAGCACTCTCTTATTGGCGATGGTGCCATCGTGAGAATAAAGAATTCAAAAGTATCACAACGGAATTACCTTCAAGCAAGAGACCTCATTCATGTAGCGAGACAACGTGTGCTCCGGGAAACATTTCACACAAATGGCTCCTTGAATGGTTGAACTTTTGTCCCTAGCCTTGAATGTCTGGAAAGAAACAGCAAACAAGACCATTCAAAGATATGAAAATGAATTTCAAAACATGTTCCAGAGACAAGTATGATATCATACGAGACGTATGAGTATATACCATGGTAGACCAGCACTTCAGACTCTGGGCTGCATTCACTTCTTTTTACATGTAGATCTACGTGTAGGCAAGAGGAGGGTGTGGGCTGAGATTGACCGACTTCTCCATACTATAGTGCTGCGCACTGGTATCCACCACACAGCTGATTGAAGTGGCTTTTTCTGGCCAGTGAACACACACACGCACCCTCACACACGCACCCTCACACACACACACACACACACACACACACACACACACACACACACACACACACACACACACACACACACACTACTTTCAGAAACCACAAATCCAACAACGGAAGGTATGACATTGTCCGACCGCCAATGCGACTCCGAAGCAGCTGTGTCGGTTGCATGGGTCAGTGGCTTTCACACAGTGCGCACTCAAGGCACAATCCCTCAATCCCTCCTCACCACATGCCACTCACCTGCACTTGGCGGCGTGCCGAGATGGGAAAAATTATCCTTAGATCCTTCAGTATCGAAGGCAGACCTGAAACACACAGAAGGATGATGTAGGAGAATGCAAACACATTCAACCTTCATCATCATTATCATACACAAATAGAACACACACGCACTATTTTCATCGTTCCTATTATTGCTCTTCACATTACATTTCCAACACAGTTATTTCTTTGTCCAACACCACTTTACATCTCAATAAAACCTTCAGCTGATTCTGTTTATGGCCATCTTAAAAGATAAGAAATTGCATGCATTTATATACACTCACCACTCGATATAGATGAGTCACTGAGTGGCCAATGTGGTAGTCATCCCAACCATGAGAACAGGAAATGCAGAAACACAATTAGCCACACCAGAGCATCAATACAGAGACACCAACGTATCCGGGAGATCAAGAATGGCAACAAAAACACAATCGTAGAGCGCATGCCTGTCAATCTCACAATCCGCTGCGGTGGCAAAGGCGAGGAGAGGAACCTGTCACCACCCACGCCATGCTGAGCACCACCCACGCCATGCTGAGCACCACCCACGCCATGCAGAGCACCACCCACGCCATGCAGAGCACCACCCACGCCATGCTGAGCACCACCCACGCCATGCTGAGCACCACCCACGCCATGCTGAGCACCACCCACGCCATGCTGAGCACCACCCACGCCATGCTGAGCACCACCCACGCCATGCTGAGCACCACCCACGCCATGCTGAGCACCACCCACGCCATGCTGAGCTCATTGAAACAAATTCACATGGTCAGAATTGACGTTGGGGGCGATATGACTTCAGCTAAGGTGAGCATCATGATACAAGAACTTACCTGGTTACCTTCTTCAGTGGAGATGTTGTACAGAGGAAAGTATACAGGCGCGGGTAGGTGAGGATTAATGTGACAAGGGCAAACAGAACGTTCAACACAACTCCACAGACAACTAGACAAACGCGTATGGCCAAGTATGCACATGCACAAACATGTGCATGCATATATGCACACACACAAACATGCATGCACATACATACACACACACACACATGCATGCACATACACACACACACACACACACACACACGCACACACGCACACACACAGATGTACATAACCAACCCATCCTTGCCCAAGTCTTTCTTTCTCTCCGTCCTATTTTGTCTAGCCACGTGCACAAGAATAGTGGTGACTACAAGACCCCTATGGTCAGATAACTTGCGGCGAGTTAGATCTCACAACCATTGCTGCCTCGCTGCTTTCAATATACATTCACATGTCTGAAAGTTTGTGGTTTTCTTTAAAGAACAATACTGAGAGAGAGAGAGAGACACACACACGCACACACACACACACACACACACACACACACACAACCTGACATTTTCACTGCGAGCACCGTGAAGCGGCTAATTTTGTAATTCTGGCAGTTAAAACTTAAGCACGGAGTGCTACCGTGCTACTAAATTTTTAACTGGGTTCAAAAGGTCGAACTCTGACCTTTAGACCATGACCTTCTGGTAAAGTTCTCCAGAGTTCCCACAATGCAATAGGAACTTATGTACACCAAAGAGATGATTGAAAAGGCTTAATTTTCTGAGGTGGAGGGCTTGAATGCAAAGCATTGCAGAAAGCTTGTTGTGAAGATGGGAATGAGAAGAAACTCATTGTATGTTATTCTGAAAAGGATTGAGGAGACAGGAACAGCTGAAAGAAAGGAAGTGGGAGAAAGACAGAGAAAATGACAGAGAACCAGAAGAAGAAACTGTGCCGTGCTGCCAAGGACAAGTAGGGTGTTTCTCAGAAAAGCTTGCTGGAAGGTTTAGTACGAGCAGATCCTATGTTGGCACAGTACTGGGGAGCAACAATATCAATTATTTTTAAAAGTGGCAGAAGTGCCCAGATTGGTCTCCAGAGCAAGAACAAAACCAAAAAAAGACAGCTCAGGGCCGTAAATAAAAAGCTGCGTCCTCCAAATTCCGATGTTGTTATCGTAATGGATGATTAGTCATACTTTTCGCTCGAACAATATTCCAAGCCAGGGAACAATGGTTTTTACACAGACGAGAAAGAAACCTCAGCTGTGACTGCCAGGTAGTTACAAGACCCAGTCCAAGTTTGCAAAGAAGATCATGGTGTGAATGGCAATGAGCGAGAGCAGGCATTCCGACATCTTTGTGAAGCCATGTGGGCTTGAAGGTCAGGAGGTGAAAGAGGGAGATATTCAGTTACACACCAATGGACTCACCTTGTCGGATGTGCAACTCTTATACACTTTGTTCAGGGAACGCCGCTGCAGTCTACGGCGCGCACCATGCTCTCCAAGGTCAACACCTCCCCGCGGTATGACCTTTGACCTTGTTCAATAAGATGTGAAGTAGTCCCTATGAAACATGTTGCTTCATTACTATAGACTCATTGGCCGTGTGAAGAAATTGTGAAAATAGCATGGACAACTTCCAACCCTTATAGAGTAGCAGAGAAATGGTGTTTATTTTCCTGTGATAATGAAGGTTTTTCAGTCCGCTGCCTGAGTGCAGCCAAGACAACCATGGACCTTCGTCCCATGATAAGGCATCCGGGAAGAAGTGATATGACGCCCCTCGCTGCAGCAGAGTACCTGCGCAGGGTCCCACCGGTCTCATCTTTGAATGCAAAGGACAGGAAGCAGCATCTACCCCAAAATCATAATCAGCGGTGTGGAGGACTTCGGGACAATCAGCGAGGCCGGTGATGGAATCGAACTGCGAAGATGGGTTGACGGGAAGCATTCATTCTACCTGCTCGATGATATGCGTGATGAGCAATGCTCCCAAAACATCATTGACTTCTTTCCCAGATGCAACGTACATGTACATGGATTCGAGTGACGTGATGCAGATTATTTTAAAAAGATGTGAATGTGAGCGAAGTCTACTGAGTCGATTATATGTAGTGCTGAAACGAGTACGCCGAGTACTCGAGTACCCGCTCGTTGAGTACTCGACTCGATATCAAAAAAGGACTCGATACTCGATAAATAAATAAATAAAATAAAAAACTAAAAAAACTTGATAGTGACGTACACGTCCGTCGTCCATGTGGCTTTGCAATGAAAATGTGTGTTTATTGAAGGATATTGAATTGCGTAAATGGTTTGCAAAAAATTGGGTATGTGGTACTGACGTCATGACATATATGCGCATGTGTGCTTATAGTTATACTCGAGTACTCGATACTCGACTCGATAGTGACAGTACTCGCTCGATAGCTTATAGAGTACTCGTTTCAGCACTAATTATATGCGTGTACGCCACAGTACCAAGGCTGTTCGACTCCGTGCAGTGGCAACACGACTGACGCGGATTCGAGTGAGGGTCGGGACCATAGACATCGATGAGAGGACGGCTTCGTCTCCAAATAATTCACAGAGTGGACGTGCGACACGATTGAGGTACGAAGGAGGTAGTAGGCGGAGCGCGGCCATTGTCGCTGACCTGCACATTGATATTTGTTTGATATTTATTTATTTGTACCTTTGCAGCACTGCACAGTTTGTACGAGGACTTGGAGATTTATGCAGTGCATGTCTACAGCTTATTTGAATGCGTGCCTACTGCGCAGTACTAGTCCCTTGTATAGTACGCGAGTTGTAGTGCGGGTTAGCATACAGGTGTGAATGCTACGCACTTTTCATGCAAGCTACTTTTCTGCATTCTGTACTTGCTTTCATGCACGTGTCGCTGGCATACGCGATACGGGCCGGGTTTGTGTATTGGTTTTGAACCATGTGGTTCTTCTTTTCAGTTTAGTTGTTCTTTGGTTGCTCCGTGAGTTGTTGCTTTGGTTGGAGACAAAGGTGGCTTTCTGTTTCAGTAATATAATGTAATGTAACTATAACTGATAGTGTACTGTTGAGTGTTGGGATGCGTTGGGACCCCGACACCAATATTTGGCGACCACCCAGTAAAATTTGAATCGTGCATCGTAGCGTGCTGGCTTAGCATGGCCGAGTCCGAAGCCGAAGGGAAATCGCCTGGTGCTGGTGGAAGCGCTGAGGCTTTTGGATGGATGAAGCTGGAGACGAGTTACCTAAAGCTTGGCAAGGATTACGGGTATTCTGGCGAGGCACTGGTCTCTTTCGTGGAGCGCAAGCTCACCGAAGCAACCGATAGGGACCAGAGAGCACAAGAGCGTGCAGAGAGAATCGCTGAGAAGGAGCTGGACAGTAGGAAGGAGTTCGAAAAACTCCAGGCCGCGAGTGGTAGTGGCAGTAACGACGTGCAGAAGCGCCCCCAGAAGTTGGACGTGCCGAAATACACCGACAAACAGGACATCCAGGGTTATTTGATAACATTTGAGGCTGTTGTTCAGCAAAATGGCTACGAAAATCGACATGGTTGTTGGCCCTCCGTTCGGCTGCGATGGGGACAAGGCTTGAACCGGTGCTGGATCATGTCACAACTTATGAAAGTGCTAAAGTTCAAGTGACACGTAGTTTTGGCAAGACTGCCGAGAAGACGTGGTCCGAGCTCTTGTCTCTGTATCAGCAGACGGAGGACACGTTTTTCCGGTACGTAACCCATGTAGTGCAACTGGTGCAAGAGTGGGCATCGCTATCTGGAGGGCCGCAGGGCCAGAAGCAGAGCAGTGGGAACAGTGAGATGTTCATGGCAATCGTCCGCCAATTTGTGCTCCAGGGATGCTCGCTTGACCTCCGTGCGTACTTGCTGGAAAACAAGATCGGCGAGAAAACGTTTGAAGAGATCACGGAACTGGGTACAGCGTATCAGGAAGCCCATGGTGTACGTTCTGGGTCCGACCAGAAAACCATGGCGTTGGAGTCCGAGGGTGCATCAGCACAGTGCTTCAAGCTGTCCACTGCCGATGACGAGAACAAGCTCCACAGTATGCCTGTTGCTCAGCGCCACGAGTATGCGCAAACCAATGGCCTTTGCTATCGTTGCCTGCGGACAGAGCACAGCCGGAGAATGTGTGATAGTAGTGTTACTTGCAGCAAGTGCGGCAACAAACACCATACCCTGCTTCATGATGACAGTAGCAATGGTAGCAGTGATTTCAACAATAGCAGCGGCAGCAGCAGTGGCAGCAGCAACAGCCACAGCACCTCAGCAGCTACAGGCAATGCCTTCGGCACCGCCTAGTGTTTGACAGCCGACACACTCTCCCTCTCACGTAGCGATGCAGTGTCAACTGCCACTCTGGAAGACATGGACGAGGCGCACCCTATTGAAGTGCATAGCAGCGACATTTGATCCGCTCGACTTGGTGTCACCGGCAGTATTGACAGGCAAGATCCTCCTGCAAGAGGCCTGGAAGGAACAAGGCAAGTGGGATGATCCGCTACCTTCTCCGCTCGCCCAGCGTATAGCGACAGGCAATGGTTGGACTTGTAATACCTGCACTAGGTTTTGGTGGGGAGGATGTCGCTGACCTGCACATTGATATTTGTTTGATATTTATTTATTTGTACCTTTGCAGCACTGCACAGCTTGTACGAGGACCTGGAGATTTATGCAGTGCATGTCTACAGTTTATTTGAATGTGTGCCTACTGCGCAGCACTTGGCCGTTGTGTGTCAAAATTGAGAGAAGAAAAACTTCCCAAACAAGAATGTCACTTCCGCATTCCGTGGATTAGCTTCTTGTTGAGTAGTTTATGAATTGTTTACCATGGCAGACTCGAGCAAGTCTCTTATTGAGTGTGTTTCGGATGACAGTGATGAAGATGAAGATACTGTAGAGAGCGATTCTTGCAAAAAAGTGAGCATTTTCCGAGCATTTTCCAAAAGCATTTTCGGCAAAGTTTCGGGCATATTACACCGGGCCCTACCAGCCCCCCAAGCTGAAGGATTCGAGGACACGATAAAACTATGATTATGAGAGAAACCACAATGTTCCGTATAGGGAGCCACGAGTACACTCCAACAAAGAATAAGACACTCGTCTCATTGATTCTTCACCACGCCTCTCAGTTCACTATAGTCTATAAGTACATGGCTCAAATTCAAAACCAAAAGTCACACGCCAATAATTTCAGTGCGACCCAGTCAACTGCCCAGTCTGGTACATGTACTCAACCATCCAATGCTGGATTTACGAAGCCTCATCCACTCAACCCAACAAAATCCGCCATACGGTATGACTAGTATTCGACGGAAGCAGCTAGTACTAAGGACCTTTCGCATTTGCTACGAATCGAATGCGAAACGAAAGTTTGATTCGGCTCGTAATCGTTTTGCTGAAAACAGATTTCAGGTTTCGCAAGTCGTCATGCAAATGTGCATGGCAACTACAACTACGAATACGGCCGGTAGCTTGGCGTACGGGTTTTTACACGCACACGTGCATGGATCATGGAATCAAGGGAAAAATGTGTACCTTGCAAAACATGTGTACCTGACGGATTCGGAGCGTGCCACGAATGAAGAGGCTTCCATTCGTGAAAACGAGTTCTCCGCAGGGCCTCTGACGAATCCTCGAACCCAGGTGACGAATCAGCATTCGTTTCGTATCCGTACGCGTGGTGCGAAAGGTCCCTACAGAAACTCTTACTCGACCGAAGGCGAAGCAGCTATTACACCGTAATTCGACGGAAAAAGCTAGTAGCATTGTGAAAGCAGCAAAATGCCACCGTCTGAGCCAAAGTCTCAATATTCCCAGCCATGTACAAGAATACGGTAAAGCAGCTAGCTACATAGTCATTGACCACGAAAACACACTCTCACACTCACGCCTGTCCTTCTTCGCGAAACAAATCAACAGCCAAAAATTGCCTTATAAAATTGCAATAATTGCAACGCTCACTTACCACTAGGAAAGTCCAGAGAATAGGTTCCATCTTCACAGAGAGTCTCCATCATGACGGCTCAAACAAACAACAACAGCACTCAACTAACTAGGAAGCAGAGCTTTTTGTTGCGTTCCGAAGAACTGGCTGGGTTTGTTGGCGCGCCATTGCGACCACTCAAGCCTAGTGAGCTAGTTTCGGCGCCAACGGCGATAGGTCGATAGACTTGATCCATAGCGCCACATCGTCCAATGGCAACGTAAGAGTCAACATTAGCGAGCGACTAGCAGCTTTCGGTCTCGTCGACAAAAATCGCCCTCCAGTCTACTTCTTTATTCGACGAAGAAGAAGACGTCTCGTGTCGTCTCACCACTGACTGTAGCCATGCTGATGGTAGATATCTAGATGATTGTAGAGCTACGAGAGCTACATGACTGTGCATCTCGTACATGAATCACACATACAGTGTACATGACTGTATAAAGTCATTTTACTACTTGTACGTCGATACGCGGTCCGGGGACACATGTTCTGCCGAATAGCCAGACAAAGGACCGTCTGAACGAGTTTTCGCCCTTTGCCTCGACTTCGTCCTCGCTTCGCGCTTTGTCTGTGTAGATCTACAAAAATTATTGGTACATCTACGAGCCTGAGTGCCATACACATGATACAGCCTAGTATGGTTATAACCTAACACTGGTCAGTCAAAACCAGTACAGTGGTCCCTCTATAATCCGGCACCGTTTGTGCCACGGAAATCTGCTGGATTGGGGAGGGTGCTGGATTAGAAAATCTGATTTACTGCTGCAATGATTATGTGCATGAAGAGGACATTTTGGCTACGGAAAATTGTGCTGGTTTATCGAGGGTGCTGGTTTATAAAGTGCTGGATTAGAGAGGGACGACTGTATTAGATAAACCGACGCGCGCGCCAAAGGCAAAGGGCCGACTCGATAGATTCTGTGCACATAGACCACCCTTGGCCTTTTCAGGTGATCTAATTTCCCCTAGTTTGAGGGGATTATGGCTCATAATCCCCTCAAACGAGGGGATCTCATATAATCCTGTGGATCCCCTCGGACGGTGGGTCGGACCCAGTCCTTCTACCGGCATAACCAAGAGAGCTAGCTCCCTTGCCAGGCCTTGGCTGCTGCTTGAATATGCAAGAATGGGCGCTGCGCGCCTTGGGGATTTGAAAAATAATCCCCTCGGAACCGTGCAATATCCTAAACAGATGTGCGGGGGGGATTCGCTGGGGAATCGACGAGATGGGCGATAGTCTCGACACACGTACACTGACACTGGCACTGAAAACTGTAGACAGTGTAGGCATATACAAGGTCTACACTACAGACAGTTTACTGTTTAGACTGTGGTCCAGTGTGGAGCGTGGACATGGTCCTGGACCAGCCAGGATCTAGGACCGACATCGACAGTCCGTGGTCTCTTCCGGCTGCAGTGGTTTTGTATAACAGTAGGTCAACATTGTACCAGAACTTTTTTAAGATGTTGGTTGTGGTGAAATAGTTACACGTAGATCTACTACTGTACTTACAAGTAGCTCGTTTCTGAATTAGTCTGTAGAAATAGCCCGGGGAAATTGTCCAATTTCGCCTGCTCTCTCTCTCTCTCTCTCTCTCTCTCTCTCTCTCTCTCTCTCTCTCTCTCTCTCTCTCTCTCTCTCTCTCTCTCTCTCTCTCTCTCTCTCTCTCTCTCTCTCTCTCTCTCTCCCCCCCCCCCCCATATGAGTTCCTATCAGTTGCTGTGAACACCTTGAGTGGAGAGCGCTTGCTCGAGCGTTGAACCGGGTTCTTAATCCACCATACCCAGTTCGCAAGGCTGGGCGGGGTTGTGAGCAGGCTTTCATTTCATCTTTTCTTATTATTTCTGCTTTTCATCTCATTACAAAAATTCTGCGCTTTTTCTCCATCTGCGCATAAAATCTAGACTGACAACCTGCTTGTTAAATCATGCACCTGCTTTCAGGCGTAAAAACCCTGTTGTAGAGGTCTCATTCCTCATTTGTTAGACTTACCTGTCTTTATAAATGTAACTTACTCTCTCTCTCTCTCTCTCTCTCTCTCTCTCTCTCTCTCTCTCTCTCTCTCTCTCTCTCTCTCTCTCTTTCTCTCTTTCTCTCTCTCTCTCTTTTATATTTTTTCATAAATATTTTATAGTCTCTCTCTCTCTCTCTCTCTCTCTCTCTCTCTCTCTCTCTCTCTCTCTCTCTCTCTCTCTCTCTCTCTCTCTCTCTCTCTCTCTCTCTCTCTCTCTCTCTCTCTCTCTCTCTCTCTCTCTCTCTCTCTCTCTCTCTCTCTCTCTCTCTCTCTCTCTTTCTCTCTTTCTCATTTGTTTATTATAGAAGGCAACATCTCTCTTGTCCTTCTCTTCAAGTACGTTAATGTCTATCTCCACTACTTATCTAATTTTGGTATACATATCACAACCAGTGCACGACGCCCCAATAAGCTGATATTGACAAACCATGGACAGCGCTGTTCAAATCTCTTTTCCATAAATACAGCACCCTCTGGTCTGCCCCCTAAGATCACCTCATTAACCAGTTGAAGCGAATTTACACAAGGCGCGGGTCTCGCAGTTCGCTATGGCCAAGACGCGGAGTTTGCACTGAAGCTAAAGTCGATCGCTGCTCTGGCATTCGCTCCCACACTAGACGTAGTACAGTGCTTCGAGATATTGGAAGCTGACTTCCCTCCTGAAGCGGATGAAGTGCTGACGTATTTCGAAACGTACTACATCGGGCCATGAACCGTGAACGCCGTACTCCCCGATTTCTGCATGAGTGGTGTAAATAGTGGAACGTGAGCGAACGCACAGCCGATGGAACACACAGGACTAACAATCTTCAAGAAGCCTGGCATCGTCGCTTCGCTGCAGTGGTGAACTGTCACCATCCAATCACGCAATCAACGGAATTCCGCCACCTTGCAGTTGATTTTCCCCATTTCTCTCCTCATCAATCCCTACTTGTCTTTGTACATACATCTACATCTACTGTTCTTTCAATCAAATGCACATTGCCTTTGGGTCATTTCATAATAATAATAATAATAATCCTACAATCTGGACCTGCATTTAAAGAGCAGCGAAGTACGGTGGAGAAACTCGAGCGAATAGTTGCTGGTGAAAACGGCCCTAAACGCAGACAGCGCTATGTCAAGCTTGACCAGCGGTTGCGCACGGTAGTTGAGTCGTTTCCAAATGTGCCGACAGCCGAGTTTCTGAGGGGCATCGCGATTCGCGCCCAACTTGGCTTTCTTTTGAGTTCCTCTTTTGCGTTCTTCTTTCCACTTATTGAGTTTGAATTTTAGCAATGCGCTTCTCCAAACAATGACATCCTGAGTTCGACGTGGATTTGACTTTCTGGGGTGGTATTCTGTGAAGCGGTCAGTCGGTGAAAGATACCGCTGTGAGATGTCTTTCGGTGTACCATACATTCTGTGAATCTCATCATTCGGTGAATCGTCGTTTCGGTGAGGCAGGCTTTTCTGTGAATTGACGTTCGGTGAAATGTCGTTCGAGGTCGTGTCGTTCTGTGAACCCGATTTCGGTGATCCGTCGTAGACCCATGCCTATGCAGGACGAGGCCTCGGCGGATAATGCTAGTTATTTTCGGCAATTATGCTACTAGCACTGCTAGTAAAAGTGGCACATTATGCTAGTTTTAATGCTCGTTATGCTCAATTTAATGCCACTTTATATGGGGTCAAAAAGATCTGTTTATTATAATACCACCCTAACAGCAACACCATTAACAGCTGCACAGTCTCGGACCAAGGCAAGAACCGTGTGGCTTGGAACTTGAAGCTGTGTTGACAAAACTGTGATGAGCTCTCGAGCTAGTTCAGTACCAGCTAGGCTTTTGGACAGTACAGAGAAACGTACAAGGCGTTGGTGTATGTTGAAATCGCCATCGACGTAGCGGAGGACAACAGCAAGTGCCTCACCAAGGCGTGATGAAGTACCATCGAAAATAACGGTGAGATGAGCTGCAGATGCAATCTCCTTCTTGATGGTAGACTGCTCATTCTGCAACAGGAATGGCACCAAATGTGCCATGTGAGTGCTGTACGTCATGCGACAGTAGTTGCTTTCAAGCAACGGACGAAGGTGGTCTATCTTACTCAGAGGCACATCTGCTTTGAGGACAGACTCTACAACGTTGGCTCTTCGAATGAGGACATCATTGGCTACAGCACCAGATATCCCTGTTCCTGCCTGCTCCTTCTTATGGTCTGTAGTGTACTTCTCCCACGAAGCTGTTAGCGCTTGCTGGTGTAGCTGGGCTCGTGACTTTCGCTCTTTGGCCGTCTTGTGATTTGGCTCGAAATGTGTGATTTCACAATGCTGTTCTTCGGTTGAACTGTCTGGCTGCAAGCACTGCAGTAAATCTTCCCATTGGACACGGTCAAATATTCCCCCGGAAATTGCTGCACGCGATGGTGGACGCTGCCACGAGGTGTCAATGTGGAACTTCCACCGGCAATTCGCCCACGCTTAGCGACGGACTCTTTCCTACTTTTTTGGAAAGATCGTTTTTGGGAAATCGCTTATCTGGCTGGTTCGGGAAGACGTTCACACGCTGTCCTGACCTCGTCCTCTTCGGACACTGATTCTGAGGCGTCTTCATAGTCAAACTCGGAATCAAAGTGATCATCGCTACTGCTTACTAGATACACAATATACAATGTCTCTGGCTCTATGCAGGACCCTATTGTGTTTTCTGCTATTTCCACTAAGAAATGGGCCCTGAAGGCATTTCAAACGAAAGCCTTTTCTGACAAAGATCTAGCTAGTCATTAGTTCTAACCAAAGTGAAGAAGCTGGAAAAGGGATTGTTTGCCATTGGTTATGAGGCTAAAATTGGTCAAATGCGCATGCATAGCACACAATGAACACCCAACGTTATGAGACAAATACAATTGAAATAAATAAAAAAATATGAAGGATACGTAGCCTGGGATAGACAAGTTCGTGTGACTTCATCAACGTTTGCACGCATAATTTCGACACCACCGCTTACTAGACTGCAATAAAAGGTGTAGAAGTAGTTTCATGATCTCCAGTAAAAGGGAGCACCGAGTGGCCGTCACCGAAAGACCTTGAACTACTGATATGAAGAAACAAAGAATTCCGGCTTCAATTGGCAAATCTGTCGTAGCATTTGGGCACATTCTGTACTACTTTGTAGTAGATTTGGTACTCGAACCGTATGCGCAACGGATCGGGAGCTCACCGCCTTGTCTTGCGATGTCTTGCGGCGCCGATTTTGCTTTGAACCAACCCATATCCGGATGTCGCAACAAACATAAAAACCGTGTGTCGCTGTCGCAGCTC